CTATTATTGCTAAAGGATATACGTACACAGCACACACCGCGAGCGAGCACCGTTCGTTGAGTAGATGAGATGCAGTATATTGAACGAGGTGCAGTATATTGAACGAGGTGCAGTATATCGAACGAGGTGCAGTATATCGAACGAGGTGCATCTTAAAAACTTCCTGAATTTCAACAGCAACTACCACTCCGGTCATTCTTCTTCATTAGGAAGTCAACAGCAACTACCACTCCTCTTCATTAGGAAGTGATTCCTACGTTCTGAGCATTTTCATGTACAGATCTATAGACAAAAATATTTCAGAGAATACCATGCAACTGAAACATGCTCGAGCTTGTGACGTATTCACACTACAGACACAACACTTGATCCCCATACGAAATACCTCTACATCGAAATCCAGCTATATGACAACCGCACCCAAACACGCCAAATATATGCCATTCACCAAAACCTAATCGATAAATGGATGAAGAATAAATTAAAGCCATATGTGGGATACTCGTATGAAGGGAAAAAACGAGAGATAACGAAAATTGGGGAGAATTAGACAAACGGACAGAGAGAATCTGGAGAAGTTTACAGATAAAAACGATAAAATCGAGAGAGTGACAAAGAAAGAAACATAAGATCCAATAAAAGAAAACACGACCTACGATGATGACGGCAGTGATAAAGAAGAAGTTACGGTAGATCCAACAAAGCAGAGGATCAAGAAGACGAAAAAAGCGAGTAAAGTATGTGAATAGAGAAGAGAAAACGAATGAATCAAGAGAGACAAAATCGATGAGAAATAAATAAAATGAAGAAAAGAACAAAAATGAGCAATAGAGAGAATCATCCAAATGGCGTTCAAATTGTATAGTAATGATCCTAATAATGTTAGTGAAATGGAGAATAAAAATGCAAATTTTGATAGTCACCAAAATACTCATAGCAGTAAGTATAGAGGCGACAGTAATAGTGACACGAAATGACTATTATGGGTGAATCAAAACAGTGAGGTAATGTTGTTGAGAAATTATTACCTGCGCAATTACTGTCCAACGTTTCGGCGTTATGCCATCCTCAGAAACACTTTACCAATGAAAAAGAAACGGTCGGCGAGAAACACTTATAAAAACGAACACTACGATATTTTGTGTTTTCATCGCATCATACAGTAAACAAACCTTGCAAGTCAATTCACTCAAATCACGAGTTTATGAAGAATACTCAACTATAATAAATAATTTATTGAACAAATATTTTCCGTGTTTATCAATGTGTTTACATTTGTTATAGATGATGTAAACGCACAACAATTTTGACGGCAATAATAACGGTAGAATTTCTTGGTAAATATGATAAAAATTACTCTCTGTACTAAAAATTAATTGAATTCATTAAAAAGCTTTTGATTGAAGATGAGTAACTAATGATCACGAGGACAGCAAATGCGAACGGACTGACAGAATGAGCAGACCAGAACAAGAGGACAAACAAAAACATCATTAGCGAAACACGAATGCGTTTCAACAGAAAAAAACGAGTGTGCGATTCACGACGATGAAGGATGTAATTGCAACGCACTCATTAAAAGCACTCTGCTGCAATGCTCCTACCAGTGCTATTCCTCACATCAGCATGTGTTGAAATTGTCTACCGTAATCCCTGGGATTGTAATTATTTCGCGAATCTCGCATAGAGGCTTGAATTCATGCGATGATGGCCTTTAGCTGGTAGGGAAAGCTTGTTGCTTTCGTAGCATTTTCGCTTAAATTCCACTTGATGAGTCTCCAGTAATTCTCGTACGATTGGTATGTATTCAGAAATGCGAAAAAGGTGTCTGTTCAACAGCACTTGAAAGACGTTCTAGAATTTGATGAGGTTCATAATCGAGATAAACAATAAAATAGATTTTATCTGATCAAAAACGACTGAAGTGAATATCTGAATCGAAGAAATTGCCATACAAGCATGCGCATATGTGTGTAAATATTGCAAGTGAGTGAGCTAAAAGCAAGCAAACATACAAGTTTATCAAACGCATCTACCGTTTATATGATCACGAAACACATTATTATTCAATCACTGATTTATATTATCGCAATCATTCCTCCCCCCTTTACCATTTCCTTTCTCTTCCCATTTCAAATGGACGCGTCGTATACCTCCCATCCCATCAAATACTTTTTCGGCAATAACCCTCCTCATTTTCTCCAAATCGTTTGGCTGTTCTGCACAGGCTTATAAATTAATCGTAAACACCTACCATATTTGCATATATCAATACAAAAATAAACAGCATTCATTTTATTCAGATGCATCACATATTTACAGCATACAGTATACGTTCATAAACAAAACCGAATAACAGTGACACTGTGCATTAATCAACATGCTAATAAGCATTTAAATATGATAATAATCATTCATCATTGAAAGGTAGTGTACAAATAATGAACGATTTCAGCGAATTGGAACGATAACGAACATAAATGAAATAAACAAAAATTTAGTTGATTGTCGTCAATCGCTTTTGAGCAGAGCTGATTGCAGCTGAGAGAATATAACAGAAATTTGAAACTGAAAGATTGCAATAAAAAATGATGATGTATGTGGACGACTGTTTTTTGGTGAAAGAATTTTCACAATTTGACAATAATAAGTTTTCTGTTTACGAGATTGAGTTTGGCCAAAACCAAAAGTGCATACAAATAACATATGCAGCATGTGAACACGCATATGGATCAATCAAAAGCAGTGTTGTGTTCAAAATGAGATGATGCACGATGGCATGAAGGCACATCAAATTCTTGTGAATTTACCGAATAACAATGATCATCGATAATGTAACTTTATTTTCATCTATTGTAAATGAAGCTTTTTTGACAATTTTGGTCAGGAAACAGTTAATTATGGGGTGAAAATCAAACATGTAGAGAATGAGAATGAGTAGAGTCACACCAGAAGTAGAGTAGAATAGAATAGCAGAGCACAGAACACCAGAATAGACTTAACCTCCAAGTAGGATGAAAGGATACGCGAATGAAAAACTTGTCGTTTAGCATCACTCGTGGCCTGTAACATTCTGCAGCGAAAATGAACATCGCAAAGATCACGAGTCCGTTGTTTACGATAATTTAATCCTCCATTTGGAGAATTTTACAAAAGTGAAATCTCAACTGATCCTAAGTCTAAAAATTCCACGAAAATCCTATCGTTGCACTGGATTGCTTGCAAGCATCTAATTACGTTGCAACAAAACCATAACATTACATAAGCAAAACACAATAAACGATCAAAATCCACAATAATCATTTTGAAATCGTTACCAGAAATATTCGTCAAAGCGCCATTACGATGAAAGAATAACACAACAAAAATTCATTAATCATGATCCACGAAACAAATTGCAACCATTAGGTGCATTACGAAAATAATGAACAACATTCAATCCCCACTAAAACTGAAGCAAGCGACTTGATTAAATGAATATGAAATCATCGCAATAAATGAAATCTAGTCAAACATTTGTTGAACGGAAATGGAAATGAAGAAATCAGACGTTCTCTTGAATAAGCCAAAATTCCAATTAACATAAATTGTCTTTTCGTCTAAATCAATTACCCATTTCTTTCCATCCTCTCCAGAAAAATATCCCACAAATACTCACATGTATGAATTCTCTCCACTAAAGAAAGTCCCAATTCAGTAGCAACATCCATAAAAAATGCGATATTTATTCTAACAAAATTGTCGCCAATTAATATTGACGACGATTTTGAATCGTAATTTTTATGCTACTGTCAGCTGATACCTATACGTATTGAAGTTAGAATTATAATTATACACCGAAAGAAAATGCTGGACAATGAATGTATCGCGTTTGCAATGTTTAAACCAAATTAAGTCAGTGGTGGAAATGTTTCGAGAAAATTAGAGAAATTGTGCAGTGCTTCATGAAGAAAAATTGTGACTGAATACATAACAATAAAGTGTGTTGCTTAGGACTTGCAACGGTTTCATATTTATTGGATACATAGTTATGTGCATATTCTTGCATGGCATCATCAAATCGGATTAGCAATTTATTGCAATAACAATCACTATGACAAGCATACAATACAGGAATATTACGTTGCATTGCTGAGTCCAGCTTGAGATACTGACGAGGTGCCATCGTTATAGGATATTTTTATTTTCATTGTTAATCGTGACTGCGTCTGCAAAAACAATGAATTACAATCACTGAACACTCTTTTGATCAAATCGTATTTGTCAGGTAGTATTTATTTATTTAGCAGCTTATTAATACACATTTCGTGCATAAGCCTCTTCAAGATCACTCCAGTTATTATCAGCATCATAGCTGACTGCTCTTCTCACCCATGTTTGAACCGCCATTTTGTACATGTCGTCTCACCCACCATCTCATTTTCGTTTTTCGAACTTCGTTACCCCTCTCAGCCATTCATTCGATTTCCCACCTCATAATGTCACCCTATCATCATCCTCTCTTAGACGATTAAAATCTCTCATTATTCCCATAAATAGTAACTATCAGCGTAACTGATTAAACGTATGAACAGATAGATGAATATTTATAAAGTAAACAAAGATTGAGATGAAACAATCAATCCATTCATTTATTTAAGCAAAATATTCATTCCCTCAGAAGAGGAGGAGAAGAAGTAATAAAATCCAGGGAATAAACTTAATGAGTAAACAAAAAAAAGAGACAAATGCAACGACCTACTTGCACTTTGTACGTGATCGATGTTCATTCGGTGAGGAGTGTCGCTTTGAGGTTGAAATGCGATTTGTTGATCGTTTTTCATTTGTAAGGTGGCGATTATTCTCCGAAAGTTGATGGCCGCGATGCTGATCACTGATGCGATCCGATGAAGTTGATGATAATGTATTATGCCCGTGCCGCACGCTACCTTCTTTCTTGTTTGCTTTTTTCCCACCTGAAGACGAAAATGATTTCTTTTTCACATTTATTCTACTGTTGTTCAGAAACGACCTTGCGGTTTTAACCTTACAGGTTTCTCGATTGTCATTTCAATACGTATACCGAACCTTTATTAGCAACTGGGTAAAGTCTCACGTTTTGACTGTTTTCGTCATGCTGACAATTAGAAATACTAGTCGCAAGTCATGACCTCTAAGACCTTTTCCACTTAGTAAAACTAATGCGAATGAAGTTTCAATAGCGGAAAATGATTATGACATTATAAATGCTTGCGCCCTTGAAAAGACACGTAAAAATAATGCAAACGTACTCTCATAAGCATTCGATTCATCTTCAGTCCATTCGCTGAAACTTGCTGCTGACTCCTCATCAGTGCCGCTCGATTTTCGTTCCTTTCGATGTCGACGTTCGCTTTTCCCCTTCTTTTTCTTCTCTTTCTTCTTTTTTGAATTTTTGTCGTTTCCAGCCAATTTCCTGAAAGCATGGCACTGTTCACAATATTTGGATGATGCTCATAGGTGATTAAAAAACACATGTGATATCTCGCCTGAACTTAGATGATGGGACTGACAAATTTCGAAATTATGATTGCAGAATGACAAATGCAGCAAAATCTACGTGTTCCATAAATTTCATGAATTACGTTCATATTAACAACTTACTTGAGCAGTTTTCGGCGATCTTTGTCAGAGAGTGTTTGCAAAAATTGTGAAACATTGTTTTGATCGAGTTTTGGCTTACCCATCCTCTGCAAAACGAAACAAAAGTTAGCCGTAGAATAAATGTGATGAAAATAACACATCAATTTGTCCACAGATAATTTGTGAAAAAGCAATAAAACGAAACATGAAAATGAATAAAATATGCGTATATTCGAATATTTTAAACAGTCACTAACAGTGATCTCCTCTTCGGCACGTATATTACTAAAAACATTGCTCTTGAATTTTAACCCGTGCTCTTCTTTCATATTGTTTGCTAGTTGCTCTTTTGTGAGCTCTTCCCATTCCTCTTCATAATCTTCTTCTTCACGCCTAACACGTTTTGAACAACCGGCAATCTCATCGCTACTTTTATCATGCAATCGCTGATTCGAGCTACCAGTCGCACGATCCTTTTGCAACTGTTTAATCAAATCGGATGGATTATTCGCATCTGTAATACGATATACATCACTCAATTATTCACTAGCAACTGTCGTTGTGTCCAGACGAATGAATAAGTCAATAAATAGATGTTTAGTAATAAAATGAAAATATTAACAGTTAAAACGAATAAATCTTACATCCAGCATCTTCAAAATTGCCACTCATATTGTAGAGTGGACATTCACGATCTGTGTTCAAATGACCCCACGTATGACACTTAACACATCGCACGTTACGTACTTGAATGCCAAACGGTTGATCCATTATCGCATCATTGTTCTTCGCCCAGCTACAAATCTCCTACTCTATGCAATACTTATCATCAATTAACAATGTCAATAGAAAATATTCAATAGCCATTCCATCAAATCGAAGCGAAAAAAACTGCTTCATATAATATCGGCTGTCCGAATTCGACAGTCCAACTCTGGTCAATAAGTTAAAAACTGATGAAATGGAACGACAAGTGTATCCATACGCAACTAGAGTTCTGGACGAGGGAAAATCAATAATTAATTAATTGCAATAGAGAACAACTAACTCTTCTCGAGGCGCCGTATACTTCCGTTGCCATTCGAATTTCGGTTCAACCTTTTCCTCTTCACGTTTATTGATTCCAGCCGGTGCATCATACATGAACGATAAACCCATACGGGCTTTTTCGTCACCTAGCAGAGCTCTTAATCAAAATTCAGTTATGTTTAGAAAAACACCACTGATCACTGTTTCAAACAGTCGTGGGTTGTATTTCATCAGAAGCTTTCATTACTCTTCTAACAGATAACAAAACAATAAACAACTAGGTTAGTTCGTTGACAACCGCTCTGCTCACAAATAACTTATCAGTACATTTAAAAGCATCCACTGGACGCACACAAATATGACGTAATGGAGATAGAATATTACGCAACAAACTAACTTATTGTTGAGAATGTCTTGTTCCCTCTCGTACTGAATACGTAATTCCTCCTGCCTCTTCTTTTCCATATCTTCTTTTTGTCTTGCCTCCCATACCTCAAAATAAATTTCCAATTAAAATCCTAAGGCTACACCGCACATGCAATTGTTCAGTCCTTCTCCTCTTCTACCAAAATGAGCAATTCAATCCTAAATGATCATTGGTTGCAGTAGTCACCTTTAAGATTAGGTGTCACTTTCTGAGCATTCCCTTTTTTTTTTCAAACAAATTTAATATCTTCAAGAAAACGACCTCCATAAATGAAACCAAATGAAAATTCATCTCCCGTATTTAAACATTTCGCAAGGAAAAAACCACATTTTGCATGAAACTAAAGCAATTTAAGTAAGTTGAGACGATGAATAGAAATCGATTGTAACTGTGAAAAGGAATAAACGAACCTTTTTAATATTCCACCATGCGCTAGGATGGAAATCCTTTTTACTCATAAAATTTTGGAATCCTTTACCCATTTTTGCTGTTGTCTTTTGTTTTGCTTGCAATGTACAATAAAAGACCACCAAATATACAAATTCAAGGAAACCTTAAAAAAAAACAACAACAACAAATACACAAACAAATACATGGCCGATTAAATACTTTTGTAAGACGCTCATAATGACGTGGCACTACAGGAATCTTTCAACTAATGAAACTTCTCATTCCTTCTCTCACATTTCCGAAAGCCTCGGAGTCGCTCAGCTCAGAGATAAACGAAACAGAAACAATGAAGCGGCAGTTCGTCTCTTCTTCATTTCTGAAAACTGGATTTCCTCCCCTCAAACTCACAGTTAATCGCACAAAATTTTGAGATGTGGTGATAAACCCGATTGAGAAAGCAAACGCAAAACGAAATGAGCGAACAGAACTGATTGTATACTTTATGACAGTAGGAATTCAATCCAGAATTTGCAAAAACCAATTTACGCACGAACAGAATAACGATAAATCTTTTATTAAAATTAACAAATTCCATTCATAAATAACAACAAACAACAACCATTTAAACGATTTTCTCAAAAAAATTTCAAAATAACGAAGACATAAATAATTAGTTCGCGTTCAGACAGACAGATCAATCAACCAAAAAACATCATTACTTATGAACAGACATCTCTTCCTCACTTAAACGTTTACTTAGTTTTCAATACCAAACATTAAAACCAACACTGTTAATAAACTTAAATTTAACAAGAACAAGTGAATAAACAAAAAATTGCAAAAATTATTGAAAGAAGTAGTTCCCATAATGTTATCCCACAAAATGAAAACTTGTTCATAAGTACCCTAACTCTGTTACTTTTACGATGTGAATCTATCTGATTGCTGAAGAGGCTGGAGTGGAGAAGAACAATCGTATTAAAATCATCCTTACGCTTCAGATGAACATTACTAACTTTCACTCGAATGATAATTGCATCGAGTTTTACAAACGTATCTTTGTGGAAAATTAACAAAGCAGCATAGAACTGATGAAAGACATCGGAGCATTGATCAATTAATTAATCAATCAATATCGCGTCTGTATGTCTTCACTGTACAATCCACACTACCACTAACAATTATTTCATCCACTGACCAATCACAACACATCACACGATCCGTATGTCCTTTTAGATCAAAAAGTGGCGTTTTGCTACTTCTGCAAAATGATTCATCAGTTGTTATTTGTTTCAGTGCATTCATTTGAGGTAATCAAACGGAAAATAAATCATCAACATCAAATCATCTTCAAATAGCTTCACCCAGCCAATGAGCTCTGTTCAATATTTCATATTCATGCACGTAATTTTTGATACTCGATTTCGTTACCATGAATTGTCATGATCATGAAGACTAGTAGATAATGAGGCACAAATGAAACACGAACCGAATATCCCACAATTTTGAAAGTTTATCAAAACTTGACGAAACGAATAAGTTTTCGTTAGATGGGCACCAACAAACTGAAGTTATCCATCCGTTATGACTGATGAACGACTGCTTCACTAGACATCCTTCTACAAACAACAAATGTCAACATCGACTCTAAGCAAAATAACATCTCATTTTGAGCTGTTAGCAACATCATTGAAATGCCATTCTCGTAACCATCTTTATTTCATATCGATTGTAACAATCGAACATCACCTCAATTAGTACAGAAAGAAAAGAGAAGATTCGCTTTCCTAAAAAATGCATTAAATTCCCCAAAAGAATCAGTCATTTGATATCATAAAGTACCTCGACTTCTCGAATCCCATAACCGCACAACTGGATCAGTCGAACCGGTTATTATCAAACCATTTTTTGGGCATACATCTAGCGACGTGAATGGCTTCGTTGAACGCAATGAATTGGTATGACCTGAAACGAACGAACCAATCAAAAAGATCGCTTTACTTTTCTGTTAAATGGCTATTTATTTAATACAAATCGACGAGTACACAATAAAAGCAAAATGAATCTATACTTAACTGCTAGTTCAAGGTCCCATATTAGAATAGTATGATCCCAGGATACGGTCGCAACGTCTTTATTCGAATTTGGTAACCACTTTGCACCGACGATCAATTCCTTATGGCCTGCCAACGTCACCATAGGCATCTGTTATTTTAGTGAACAACTATAATACAAGCGTGAAGTGCACTTGATGATCTGTCTTTAACACTATTTTCCATATGGAAAAATTTAGGCAATAAATACAAAGACAGCGAACAAGCAAATTATTCGAAATAACTATAAAATTGACAATGCTTACTTTCGTTATCACACCAGTTTTTGCTTTTTTTGCATTGCTTTCAGCTGAAACACGTTTCGTGTATGTTGTTGTCGAATCATCTGCAACACTTAACGATAATTATACGATTATCACTTACATTGGCAATATCGTTACTTATAAGAAAGTCGAATTGAAATTTCAACAATACGATTAAGTGACTACGATGCAAAATAAAAAATCCGTCTTCTAATTAAGAAATTTGAATTGGAAACGATGATCAAATTACAAACCTTTCTCTATATTCCAAACTTTTAACATGGAGTCAAAACCTCCGGACACTAAACGACTTCCCGATTGATTTGCAGCCACACACTCAACACTACGTTCATGACCTCTCAATATATGAGTTGGGGTCATAGTTAAAGCAGTGTCACCATTTTTATCACCGTTCTTATTTGTCTGTTGTTTCATTGAAACTTCATTTATAACAATCGTTTGATCACTACCACCACAAATAACGCGATACCCTAAAAACAATTCATCAAGCGTTGTATTCGATCAAATAAACTGTTGTGAATGTGCATCACAAATAAGAAATAGAATTTATTCGTTTTAACAAACAAATCAAAATGTTGCTCACCTTCTTGTGGGCATGTCACCACATCACAACACTTCAGCGCTTCTTCATGAGCACTTAACGACGATAACAGTTTCCCAGAATGCGAATACAAACATATTGTGCCGCTATATGTTGCTGCTGCGATACTAAAATTAAGATGGTTGAATGGATCACATTCAAAAAAATTTTTCCAGTAAAATCAAATCAATCTTACAAACAACAAAATGATTTGTTTCAAAAAAAACCTATGCTGCTGACCTCATAGGTTTATGATTTCAGGCAAGATTTTTAGGTATTCGTATTCAAAATTTCAAAAATACAACTGAAAATTTTACAAATGTTTCGTCGTTTTCACAGCACCAACCCAATCGTCTGTCTCAATATCACAATCTGGTGTTGGTGGTCGTTCACGTAAAATGCATTCAACTCGAATTGTTGACTCCTAAAAGCAGATGCCTCTGAACATTTTTTCGGCTTAAACATGATACCTACTTGCACCGGTTACCTGCTTAAGAGATGCTTACAGTCATAGAGTAATGACCATGGTGTCTCTACCATGAAAGTGGATAACCAAAACAACAAGCAAAAATAATAGACTACCGTTGACACCGCATGTTCTTCAACAAACTCCGATAAAGTGCTACGCAGTAATATCGAATTGATCAAAAAATCAAATTCAGCCGTTTTCCATTTTTCATCTGAAATCAAAACGATCACTATTCAGTCCACGTTATCAAATGAGTTATTCACTGAATAACAGCATCCATTTATTGTATCTAAAATGGAATCAAGCATTAATTTTCATTCTGAAAGGAGACTGGATTGCTATTAGAGCACGATCATTCAAAAAAATGTTGATCATTCAGTTTTGTGAGTAAAATCACAAGCCAAAATCTTGATCAATTCCATATACAGTTGATGAATCAATCCATAGTAAATATTTAAATATCGATATATGACCCATGCATATTGTGCTTCTTCTCCTCACACTAATGAGATTGTTTGAGAAGATTTCTCCTTGTGGCTCGACTCGTCACAGCACCAAGCAACACCTTTGGTGCTCTACAAACGAAGAACACCTGGAGAATAAATTCAGCAGAAACAAGAAAACAGTCTTCAACCTGAGCAATCTTCGAGAGTTTTGTTGACAAGTGCGTTCAAGTTATCGACGTTGGCTGATGACGGCACAGAAATGCTCTCATCCGGTATATTGCCGTACCTTAAGAAGAGAAAATACCGCATCGAGTCGACAAACGAAAGTTACTCAATTCATAGTCGTACGAAAAACAGTCATTGTTACCAATTCAGAGACGTATTAAATCTTCAGTTACAATTCTGCTAATCCAAACGAATACGTACAACTAAGATGTTGAAATAACCTTTCATGATTCGAGAAGAATGTTACTTGATAATGTGCCGTACTAGTTACAGCAGCAGGATCCATACTTGAAAAAAGGCACCTGAAACTAAAAATGAGCAGTAGCATTTCAGAATGCTATTATGCCAACATGAATTCTCCAATTCTTCAATAATCATACGCACTTCGAATGAGTTCAGAGTTGACTGAATCAAATTGAAACATAAATGATGAAGCATAATCCGAACGACGTAATGAACCATTGCTAAAGTGCTACTGTCCCTGGTCACCTGGCTAGATAAAAATTCGGCAAGTTTTGACCCAACCCGGCAATATCATAATTCCTAAGAAAATTTCACTTCAAAGTTATAAGATAAAAATCAGAAGTGGTGAATATACTCCTCGAACTTTTCCGTTATAAACTTTCGTGCTTTCTTGATTGATTTTATCGCGAAACACGACCTAACGCATCAATTATCAAAAAATCGTTTTCAACCGAACGGGCTAAGCATAACTTTCAATGGAATTCTGACAAAACACACCGAAGGAAATCACACCGACATCACCAAAACACAGCATGGATGCTCATGCTCACATGAACTGCATCACATTATAATCAATTAACGCGCTCGTTCATTCAGCAACTTCTATTCGACGTATTTGTATAAATTCAATTTCATTTTCTAAAACGATACGGTGGTTTATCAACGAAGCAACTCCATCGTATGAATTCGTCAAGAAGCATGCTAATTGCATATTTCATCAAACTGTAAATATTTATCAGCTGTCGTTCATAAGCAATAATTAAAATATCAGCCATGATCTTTTCACTGTTTTCGTCTCAAAAAATAAATACGGAAACTCAGAATGGTTTACGACAAATTTCCATAATTTTCATAGCCAAAAAGTTGATGTCGATTGAACTGTTTGACATGTGCGTCCCTACCTGATGTGAGTAAATGCACATATGCTAACCGCGACCATGCACTTATTAGTGGCAAGATAACCTATGATCAAAATATAAACGAATCGAGTTGCATTTATCGAATTCACCAGCCCCAAAGACATTCCTTTTTCATTAGTTCTGCGAGGATTGGGAATCCGCTAACTTAAATAATTGATGAGAATGGAATAAACTGTGCATTTAATACTTCAACTTGCGCCAGCTCCGCTTTCCTTCACATAATAGTGTTAAGTAGTTCTGTATGCTGCCTTTTTCAACCATTTACGAAGTGAATAATCCCACCCCAAATCTGTCATTTGAGCTGGTCAAGCCGTAGTGAATTTTGTGTATAACTACGGTCTTATCAACAATTCAATTCGAAATTACTTGAAACCGATCACCATTTTGACTATTCAACTTTCTCCATACACTTTTTCAAACGTTGACTGTTCTTTATCGATGAATTATAGAAATTTGATTGAATCCAGAGAATCAAGCCAGGAGGATAATGGAACGTTAATCGTGTACTAGTTATACCCACCACATTAGTTTCTGATGCATCCTAACATAGAATGAATGAAAGAGAAATACACGAATGTGGAATGTATTCAGCAACATAAATAAGTCACTCAATGAATTACCACAATGCAACAATCAGAAAACGAACTAAAATCCAGTTTAACAAAGTGTGTATTTGTGCACATTATTAACAATAATATCACCATCATTTTTATAACATTAACAACAACAACAAACTAACTTCAGTCATTCCGTTGCAAGCAAAAAGATTCGATTAAGTGCACAACACGAAGCAATAATAAACATCTTATCATTCAACAATTTCTTCAACGACGACCACCGCCCAATCCATCTTCTGCTGCCTCACGAGCTTTCTTTTCACGTGCTCCTTTCAGTCGCTTATCGGCACGTACCCGACGTAGATGTCTGTACACTTCGAATTTCTTCTCATCTTCCGTCACTGCACGTGCTTTCTCTTTACGGACCAACTGTTTCACTGGTAAAAGTATACCGCGCACTTGAGTCGCCAACTTCAATTCATCAGCCTGAACAGAAGAAGAATTGCAATGGATTATGAATGCACACCATATTTATCAAAACCCACATGCACATTACTTCTGCTAGTTTTCGACAAGCTGTAATCAGCCATTCACATAATCGACAAAATCAATCTAAAATATTCGATTAACAAAATGGCCCACCGGGCTGTCTCCTTTCTTTGGTGCGCTCAACTTCTTCGGGAATAAGATCAACTTCGATTTATATTCTTTCAAGCGTTGGACGTTTTGCTGAAATACAAATTGTGAATCAAATCGCAACAGATATTTTGCTATAAGGGAAGAACTGTAATCATTAGAAGACGTAAATAAAGCAAGTCCCCTGCAATGTGATACATGAAAATGAATTCACAAGAGGTTTTCGTTAAAATTCGTCGTTCGTCAACTGATCAACCTAACCGAGATGAAATCCGAAAACATCCCACCTTACAATATTCTCAGAAAAGTCAAAAATGTTTAGCAGCCAATATCGTAACGAAGATGAACCTATCCATTTAATATTGAAGAGATATCTAAATGAATTAAAATCACGATTCACCTGCAAAGATTCAAGTGATCTATTGGTTCGGCGATAATCCACTGCGATACCAATGGTACGTGCCTCGCGTCTACCAATACCAACTGCTTTCAGTTCTTCTAAGGTGAAACCATAACCGAGTCGTATCTTTTTATTGTAACGAATTGATGGACAACGAACGATTGGTCTTAGTAGACCAGTCGCTGGACGAGGTGCACAAGCGAGAGATTTCACAACACGATTTTGACGACGACGCTCTTTTCGCGCTGGTTGATTGAACCAGGTGCGTACTCGTGTTTGCCAGTCCTTATGGAAATGTGCATTTGGAATTATATTGTTACGTTTGGGTGCCATTTTACCCTGCTGCAAATCATCATTCGTTATTGTATGGCACACAGCATTAAATAGTGCGCGTGTTACACTGGTTTTACGCAACTTTTGCTGATAACGGGCGCCACTGCGTTACCACTTTGCCCCATAGGTAGATATACAATTCGCAGTCAAACCAGGAGTATACTTAAGCTTAGACTTACGCTTAGCCCAGTGATGAGGCTAACGCATAGGCTTCAACTTGTGTGTGATGTTTATGAGTACACGAGCATCTGTGATGGCGTGGTGGCGCCCGTTAACAGCAAAAGTATCGGTTTTACTGACCGCATGTTATGAACAGATCAACTCCCTTACTTTTTAACTCAACAAATTTCACTTAATCTGCGCCAGCTGATATTCAGCTTAATAGTTGTTCTCAAGATTCACACTTTATTATAAAGGGTGCAACTCCTCCACCCAGTTATACGCCTAATAATCTAAGTTATCCAATTGGAGTTGACCGTCAGTAAGTTTGAATAGTGGATGAAATTTTCGAGGCAGATGAAACAGCTTATGTGGCCGACAATTTAAGATATTATGAGCGAGGACCATGTTTAGCGATTAAAATTTTTGCTACCGAATCTACAGTGGTCTCAATTTGAACTAAAATAGAAATGAATACCATTATATTTAGTTACTCTTTCTTGCGTGATTACAAGCAAATCATAACACAGAACCATATCCTTGTAACCTAACTATGTGCAACACTTGGTCTCTAATTGCAAAAGCTTTGGAAAAATTGGACAGTTACATGTCTGTCAAACGCTACAAACTAAAACTACTTGTTTCAAGGAATAGTTAAACAGCCATTAAACTAGTTAACACGTTGTATGAACAAATCAAGTAATGACAAAAAATGCAACGAACCAAAACAAAAACAACAAGATCAGAAGCTAGAGTCCCAAGGAATTATACAGTTTCAAGTTTATTGGAAAATCACCTGAAATGTGCGGATTACAACACAAAAACTCCACGCCAAAGAGGAAATAAATTCGTAAAAGAAACCCAGTAAACGTTTTAGGAGAAGCAGTCACAAGAACGCTTCGCCAAATGGCTGTTGGCAATGCACCAACCCTCAGATTCTAGGGAAATTTCATTGTTCACGGAGGATTGAGAACTTATGAGGGTGTAATGAATGATAAACGTGAACGAGAACGAGAGAAATAATCTGATCTCTGAAATTTGGAATATGACACGAATGGAAGGAAAGTTTTCCTGCCCATTCTCGACGATATCGAACTATTAACTTCAAAACGAATCAGAAGTTCACCTCAAATTTCTGAACATCTCTAACAGCATGTTATTAATAAGCAATAAAATGACACTAAAACTAAGAAGGTCGTAATGAAGTAAGAATATTTGCGATTGTCACAACATTATTTGTATGATGTGCAATGCATTCTTCATGAAAAAGCCCACGGACAGGGATGGTGTTACAGTCATTCCTGTCTTAAAACAAGGTCCCCTGATCCAACGGAAAGGAAAAATCGGTTCTCATGGCAAGCTGATACATAATAATCACTGTGATCATACTTCCAGTAGCAGTAAAGTACTCGCTGTAAAATGCTTTCTTTGATGCACAGTCCTCAGCAAATCTTAAATAATGCAAAGCAAAACCAAAAAGACAAAAATGAATGGCTGATCAAAAGTGTTCAAAAAAGCGATTAAACTCATCTATAATTCCTAGTTTTAAAATAGATCAATTAATTGACTGAATGAAGCAAAAGAAAACTTAAACAAATGAACGGTTGTTGGGAAATTTCCCCTCATATATTGATTGTCTATTGCTATTCTTGGCGGATAAAATGTGAAAATTTAAGAAGAAATTCAAACGATTCTGCTCAAGAAAAACGAAAACAGTGAAAACAAATAAAGTCTGCAGATGAGCATTTGCAATTATTGATTTAATCAATTTTGATGCGTTTTCCTCATCAGTCAACGAACTCACAGTTTAAGAATTTTGCAATAAATTTTCATCGAACAACTTCGCTTCATTGCTTGAGAATCACGATTAAGTTAACAGTTGAATTCGCCGTGTACTATTCAGTAAAGTTGTGCGGGGAGTCCCCGAATTCCAAGTCCCCGTGCCCGACCATTTTCAAGCGGTGATCATTTTCGGGGACTCTCCCCGTCCCCGAAACGTCCCCGACTCTCCCCGTCCCCGACCTCTCGAGAATTGTCGGTTCTCGCCGAAACCCCGAAAAAAATTAAATTCGAATCTGTCGCGCCCATGCGAGCAATACGAATTTAAATATTCGATTTGCTTGCATGTTTGCTTTTAAGGCCTCACTACCAATCCAGTCTCAGCTAGGGTTTACAGGGGATCCCGGGATTTCAGTTCTGATTCCGATCTCAGGATTTAAGTTTCGAAAAATCCCGGAATCTTGGGATTTGATAAAGCAGGTCAGTTTGTATGAATTTTGATAGTACGTCCATCTTGAAGCAAGCCTTTTGCGTAGCATTTCACTGAACATTCAACAGATTATTCTGCTCTTCATTAGTTTATGTCACGCTCATCTGTATGCATTTCTATGTATACTTACAGAGATAATCACATTTCCTAATGAGAACCAATAGCAACAAAATTCAACCGAATTTTGGGTTGTTTCCTTCCACGCGATTTGTTCGGTTTCAATATTCCATCTGTTAATTGAACTGCATGTTCCAAAGACTGCAAATCTCTTTACTCGGCTATTTGGAATTATTTTCATTCGATCGAAATGTACATAAATTCTCACTGAGATCACTCATAGTGAGAATTCACTGTTGAAGTGAGCGGAATTGTTCCATTCAAAAGAATTTCGAGAACTGCAAAGTGACAGTAATATGTCCGTACAGGTGAGTGTAGTAGGAGTAGAGCGTCTAATCTCTTTTGTTTTTGTCATAGAAATTTTGCTATTATACTCTATTTTCTGATGTGGTTGAATGAAATACTGTATATAGAATTGTATTGTGCCTTCGCAGTTGTCGCTTTTCTAGCCTAAAGATCACTTCTTCCAATGCTTTTCCATCAAAAAATCGTGTTTTCAAGGTCCTGTTGGCTATAGTTCCAAAGCCACATCTTCGGGGAATTTCGGGGAGTCGGGGACGGGGATGAGATTGAGTTTTCTCTCCAGAACCCCCCGTCCCCGACCATTTTCGAGCGGTGGTCACTTTCGAGGACTCTTTCCGTCCTCGACTCTTTTTTCTCTCCCCGCAACACACTACTATTTAGTAAACATGTGCTTTCATTTTAAAAACCTATTTTCGGGTTTGAAATGAAGAGAAAGTGCAAAAATGTGAAATTGGAGCAAAGAAAGAAATGAACAATGAATAATCATTTATTTTCAGCAAATGTTGATAATAATCAAGGTGAAGATTTTTTGATTTTAATGGAGATACAAATTTTCTATTGACTGTTTGTTAAAAAAGTAAGAATGGACCAAACTCGAAAAACAAACTCCCCGAAACTCCCCGTTCCCGACCATTTTCAGTTCCAACAGATACTTAAAATAATAATTGTTCAAATAAAACGATATGAAAAAACACAAACAGCAATGAGAATCAGTCGAAACAGATCTAAAAGATGGCATGGTATATGAAGATGCATGAGAACTTGCATGAACAATTATCTGTTAATACGGTAACAAATCAGTAATTTGTTGATTTTCCAAAGGAACCAAATTAATAAATTACTGATTTACGACTACACTGCCAGATGAATTTTTTCGAAGCATTACACACGAAAAGCATTTCACTATTTGACGATATAATTTAACAAGAAAAACTTTTTTGGTACAGCTTAAAATTATATAGGTAAAGCATATTAGTCGAATACTCAACAGATATTTAAAATCATTGTAAAAAATATCAGATCATATGCACATTCAGATGCATAGATTCCCAAAAATCTTCAAAATTGAATGAAAATTCAAGCTGAGAAAAAATTTGATTTATTCGTGAAATCTGCAATTTCAGCAATTCCAAAATTTTCTAATCAAAATTTCACCGCGTACAATGAAAACATCATAGCTCGAATGTAAAGAATATGATGAATCATTTTTGCATTTAAACTTCTTGGTTCAACTATCAGATATTAGGAGTGATCTATGATGTAAGCCATAAAAAACTGTGAACCCTGAATGAAAAGCACCGGAATGAAGGTACGAGCTGCACAACGATAAACCATCTTAACGGATGGATTCAACTATGTTCATAAATGTTAAGTAATATAACAGTAAAACAATATGGATCCTTATTAACATACACGAAACTTTTTCCATATACACATTATAAATGCGATTGATTTCAGCAGATCAATGACGACTAGGGTGTTTGAGAGGAAGGAGCGACAGTACGATGCGAAAGATTCGATGTATCAGCGTATGGAATACAAGCGTTAGGAGGTAGTGCCGTGTCCAGAGAGTTGACTCGAGACAAATAAATACTGTATCGTCCATATGGTTGTACATCATCCTCTTCTTCCACTGCGGTTTGCTCTTTAGTGAATGCAGCTTGCATTGATTTTTTGCTCTTATCGTGAATCTAAAACGTCAATTAAACAAATTTGATGAGAATATTCGTACAAAACGAATGGACGTTAGTATTATACCTTATGGGGTTTTGATGAAATAATACATGAACCTCGTACAAATACTGATAACATAACTGGAAGAAAGACAATTCCATGAAGTAAGCCGAGAACAATCGATAAAAACACAGTCTGCAATATCAACGAATTAATTACACATCTGATGATAGCAAATTTTTTGAAAGCTATCGAATGCATCAGTTGGAAATTGTTCGAACAATATAATAATGAATAGCGATAAGAATCAAAATGAGTGCGAATGTGAAACAAAGATGAAACAAAAACAAATACCTTGAAAAACGTGACGATCATATAAGCAGGAATATCCGCGAGAACGACAACCGCTAATATTGTGGACGCGGCACCCTGTGTCAGTGGCCAACCTAATGCACCGAGAGCCATCCGAACGCGTTCTCGAGGAACAACTTCATCAGAAATCACGTAACCATATGTGATATGCGCCGAGTAATCGACAGAAAAACCGATCGACATTATTATGGTTATCATTGAAATTGCATCCTTCAAAGATTTATTCGCATGACACTTATTCATTGGCAAGAAGTAAATAAAATAATAACGAAAGTAATAATAATGCTACCTTGAATGACCAAAACAAATGCGTGAAGGAGTTTGTTTCACGGGAAATTTCAACGTAATACGTTTGCTTCAGCCGTAAGAATTTGTTGGTACCGTCAGTGGTATGTGCAAGTGACTTGACTAATACACTCAGTGGTTTTGGTGGATTAATTATTGGGAATTAGAATAATCCTCAGCGGTTGGATAGGGTCATGTCATGCATATACGAGAGAAAACATGTACTGCTGGCGACTGTTTTGGTCATTCAAGGCACCATTATTAATGTTATTATCACTACTATTATTGTTTTATTTTTATTATCACTACTTCTTGCCATTGGAGAATGCGTATATCAGCGCTAGTCCAAAACTTATTCATTGGTATAATCCGCTGACGTTACTCTCGCATGGGAGATCAGTGGTAGAATGTCAATGTTTTGTAATCGAAATAAAATGAAACAAACCAAATTGACATTCCAAAGTGTCATAAATCCAATAACACCCAAATCAATCGAAGCAATCGCAAACGCGACCCATAACGAGCACAGTGGTTGAGGTATTAACATAACAGCAATCACGATCATCACACATAATGCAATCACTTAAGTTGCACTCAGTTACATGTTTTAGTCGATTTGAATTGTATGTTTAATTATCAACATTCCACCAACTTTTCGAACACTCCTCGAAAAAGCGCAAGTATGACCGTACCGAGCGATTATCAAATGTGAAAAAATATAACGAGTGATTAAATTATTATCACTAATATCTGCATAATAATATTAATAATGATACAAGTGACGGATAGCTGACCAATATTTTGGATAGTGTTGGAAATAACGATTGCATACTGATCGGTGAAAAGCCATAAAGGCATGAAAGTTGTGATGTTATAACTGGGATATCGAGCCGCGACTTCGCGCATCAATTCGGTTGCTTCTTGTTGTTGATAAGTTTTTGAAATTTGTTGCAAGCCAATAATGAATCTGCAAATTGCTCAATGATCCGCTCAAATGCATCAAAATCCATGATGAGTATGTTCAATGCATGTATACTAGCAGTGCGTTTTGTGAGAGGAATGGATGCATAACTTTGTTCTTATAAAATCATCAATTAACAACTATTCTTTGACGTTTCATTCACATTTATAGACTGAAATTTCCAGCCAATATCAACAACGAATTACACATCGTTGAAAACAAAATAGAAAGAATTAAATTTTACCGGAATGTTTTAATGCGATTCACACCTTTATCATCTCTTTCCCAAATTACATCTTCACTCCAAATATCGTTGGATTTGGCCGACATAAAATGCTCGGCCATACCATAAATTGCCGAATCAACAATATCCATACTCAACTCGTTCTTAAAGTAAATTTCCATTTCCTTTAGCCAGAACTGTACACTTTCATCTCCAATAGAGTGTCTCGTATTTGCGAAGGTATGCACCATTGCATTAATTCGTTTACGTTCTTCTGGATCACGAAGATCTGGTGCATTATTAACAACAATCTAGAATTGAATCGTTAATGCTACTCTTATTGTTATCGTGATCAGATCAAATATTCAAACTGTAAGCAATGAGTGATGTAACGAAGACGATACCAGAAGTGATATGATAGGAATGTTATAAAGCAAACCTGAAGTGGTGCACCGTAATGCCAAAAGTATTTCTCAAGAATGCGATAATGCGGAATCGCATACGAATCAGAAACAAGCAAATTGACAGGCTCTAAACCTTCTTTGACTTGTGTGCAACCATATATTGCTATCGCACAATAAATGAAAAACCATACTGCCGTCAATATACGCATCACAGGCTGCATTAAAACTGGAGCAAACCTTAACCACATTCACTTTTAATTGGAGTTAAGTCATTACTGTTACTGCCATCTACTCTGCTCTAATCCTACACTTTAATATTGCACCATTTCATTCAACAATCAAACCAGCACTACCATAATCTTCATCAAGCTAATGTGAAATCGCAAAGCAGTAGTAATTAGCAATGATCACTAACCAATCTTGAAAGAACACCTTCACACCGGAGTTAAACAAATTTTTCTTAATATTTCTATAATCCGGATCGGTTCTTGATCCCAACCAAAATAAACGATTCCATAATGTTGTTGATTTTATCAAAGTTTCTGGAATTGTTGGCTTCAGCCAAATGCAGTGTAAACCTTTGGATTCCCATTCAGTGGTTAATGCAAGGAGCGCACAAAAGAATGTGATCTGAAATGATGAGAATGATAAATAGCGATAATTACAATCACAGTTCTTACTGTGAGTATATCAAATTGATGCTGTGATAAAATACAACTGGACACTTTAATTATATTCTTTCAAAAAAGTGAATGAATGCTTCACTTTGAGCTGAATGTTAACTACAGAAAAGAGTGAAGATATCGAATTTTCTAAAGGGGTCTGAAATTAGCAGTACCTGGTAGATAAATGTGGCTGATATTGCTGTGCAAGTGTAGATGCAAAAAATTTGCACGGCTGGAATCCTGAAATGTAGAGAAATTTGTCAATTGAAAGGAACGTTCACTTTAAAAAGATTCGTACGAGTGAGAGCGAGAGGGACTGATATAAATATATACGTTGTGATAGCTCCAACTCCGAACGAAAATGCATCGGTTAAAGAGGTGATGAGAATGGATATTGCTGCATCACTCATACATTCACCAATACGTCTTTCGACTGAATAAGCCCGATTTGTGTGCCTAACGGCAGAAACCATCAAGAACATATTATCCGTACCAACCGCAACCAGTAAGAATGGCATTACACCAACGATATCATTATATGGTAAGCCTGAAGGCGACAAACTTCATTCTCAGCAATTCATCATAATATTATGGGTTGAGTGCAAACCTTTAATGTACGTTTGAATCAAACTAGGAACAAATTAGGAAGAATTAAGCTCAATACAATGATTAAATGATGCAATGAATGAATGAACAAATAAAATTGGTACCCATTAGTTTGGTGATACCAATACCAGTGATGATGCCCATTCCAGCATTTACGACTCCAAGCAATGATAAGATCGGTTTCGATAGAACCCAATCAATATAAAAAGTGCCATCAATAAAAATGATTGAACATAAAACCGAAAAGCAAACTAAAATAGTGAATGCCATCAGGAAGCGTGGTGTCAGTGAATCTGCATTACGTTTCAGTTCTTCAGCTAAAGTTTGTGAATGAAAATATGTATACGTTATGTACGGGTCTGGCGGATAATGTTCCAACTGATATTGCAATGCCTGAAAGTATCCTTTATTTATAACATCCATTTGACTTTGAAGAGGTTATTGAAAAGCCGAACTCAAAGTTGCAATGCACTAACGCGGTTTTCAACCGCAAAATGACGGTAACAATTTTTGCAGTCATTGAGAAATGTAAATAGCAAAAGCAACTGGAACTGCAATTGACTTCATCAAAATTTTAATTTAATTTTTTCTAATGAAACCAATTCAAGTTGCTTATCAATAATTCCAATGGAAGTTAATCAATAAAACTGAAAGAACCTTCTCCCAAAGACCGGATACATAAGAGATATTCATAGGATGAAATTTGAGATGGTAGATAAGAAACCAAGCACGAGCACCAGCTACAACTGCGCTGTCATTCGGACCATGCGATAGCGTTACACCACCTAACGCACCACCGATATAACCACTACTGAAATTCTTTTATTTCTTTTTCAACTGATGCATTTGGAATTTCATCAAAAATAGAATTTGGTACTTGCCCAGAAATATAAACAATATGATCAGTGAAGCATTTAAGAAGTAATTTGAAATCATCTATTGCAGATAAACGAACGCTAAAGTGAATGAGAACAAGATACGGGACAAGAGCGGAATCATGAGTTAACTTAGAACATACTCTGGACCACCCGTTTAGAATTGTTCAAAAAGTGTTCCTTTCCAAATGCAATTCTGTCGTAATTCAAAATCCGTTAAAATGCCACACGCAGTTGAATCGCTCATTCATATGTGTTTTACGAACAATGAATCACGTGTGAACTTTTTTGATGCTTTTAACTCTTCTTTTCTAATTCTTATGCTCAAGCTTATATTTAGGCGCAAGCTAATTGTAAGGAGGAGAAGTTAAAATTTTAGCGGGTGCGTCGGATATATGTTGTTCCGTTCAGGGATCTCTCGATGAGTACATGAGAGGAAGAATGATTATCATGACAAATTCGTGTTGATAGTCAACAACATTGATAGAACCACACAGGAATGTTCACAAATGCACTGAAGTTAAACGAAAAAATGCCTCAAAAACAATCTTCATGAGCACTTCTATGAAAACGGGCACCTGGCGATTTTTAAGTAGTATGTTTTACGAAGCTTTTAGCTTGCACCAGTTTGAGGGCATCATTAGTATTTTTATTTGAAGTCATCTTATTTGATACGATAAAACAAATAACGAACGCGCTTCCAAATCGCACGGTTGGAAATGTCACATTGATGCCATGGTTGAACAAATCACTGACAATATGAACGTGCTTATTGCCAGGACATCCTTGATTACGCCACTGTAGGCACAAATCTTCATACTGGTACGTTTCATTATTGTGTATCACTTTTATGCGATTTTGAATGTAAAGGTCCAAACGTCGAACTGCTTCTGAATAAGGCGGTTCCAGGATGTTGCCATCACCTCGACTAGCTACTATTACCTAGAGCAACCATATTATCTATCTCGCTGAGTTGTTGTTGAACACAAACAATTTATGAGAAGAATGGAATCAGAGATGAATTTAACAATCAGTGAACCTGAATCTCTCGAGATTGAGTGACAACACGTCCTGGGATATAGTTGTGATCATGTAGTGGCCATAATTCATGGATGATTTGTCTTTCAGTTTTGGATGGTGCATTAACTGGTGTGAATAGATAAATGGCATCAGTTAGTGCCTCTAAATGCAATAAACCAATCGCGCATGTTGCGGTCACTAGTAGTGGAACTACAATGAACGGTAGTGGATGTATGGCAACATAACGACCATAGCGATAAAACCATCTCGATAACGGACGCTCAATACAGTCGAAAGACCTCATTTTTATCTTATTACCACTTCTTTTAACTGAAAACTTGATCGAATCATATTATCGTTAACAAATTTTAGACGTCGATCAACTAAACAACGAACTGAACAGGCAAATTTACTGATCCATTCGTATTCCTTTTCAAAATGTTCAAATTGATGCATCTAGTGATTGCTTTTCAAACCATTAACTTTCCATTTGAATACCACATAACGCACAGTAAAAATGACAAAAAAGAGGCACAAATTTCAGATCGAGAGAACTGATTATAATGTGATGAAAAGCTACAAGTGTGATCACTAAGAAAGCATTGCGCATGCTCTTCGGAATCCCATGAGGAAGATACGAGAAGATGTGAATGAATAGGTGGAAAATGAGTCATCGCTCCGACAATCAGTCGTTTTAGGATAGATTAATGATGATGAAAACCGATTGTTCATTTTGTTCTATACGGTAGATGTAGCTAAACGAAGAAGATTCGTACTCTACAGCTAATTTATACAACGAGTATTTTTAAGTTATTGTCAAATTCATTCAACGGGTGCAGAGATCACAATTATTCGGCTGATTATTGGTTTCTTCATTGAATCGCTCATGACATTCTGGTAGTAAACGAAAAATAAATGAATGACTTGTTTTACTCGGAAGCAATCGTATCCTTTGATAGAATGTGAAACTGTGATGCAATTGGAGCAATGAGCATTGCTTCATCCAACATTACAAAATAATATTTCAAGATAAGGCCAAAATTTCACTCGTAGTAAGGATGGGTAGATGAAACTTCGAAAATACCATGAGCCTGAAAGGTGTCCGGTTTTCAGGCTCATGGATCGAGAACAGTATGTTTGAATATATTCCAATTTAACCCTTGCAATCGAGGAATGCTCACCAGAATTTCACCTTATCGTCAAAATGTAAAATCAAACCCTCAACATTCCAAAAATACATCCATTAACCAGTTCTCTTTTCAAGAACTCATGTTTGAGCAAAAATTATGATAATTCGTCGCTTTGTTGTCCTCAAAGAAAAGGAAACTCGATTAATCAAACCACAATGCAAAATAAGTTCATATTCTGATAAAATATAGAACGCCGTATGTAAACAGTTCTGTAACAGTTATCATTTTATCTATAAGAATGTGCTAACAATTATTATTCACAATGACCATAAACTGCTATTAAAATAACTGAATAAAAGTGATCCATCCATCACATATAATCTTAGACCTGTTCATCAAAATGAAAGAAGAAACGTAAAGAAACACAACCGAATCACGGCAAGCATCATTACCCAAACAAAATCTCAAATCACCACTAACATGGAGTGATGATCAGTTGAAGTTGAGATATGATCAAATCGATAATGAAACAAACAAAACAACATCGATCAGTTGTTTATTGGATTTTAATGATCAAGATTGATAAACGAGAACATGAATTGAATGCGGATGCATGAGTACGTCACCGGTCAACAGTCATAATACAAAACTGAGTTGGACTGTTAAAAGAGACACGTCACTAGACGGTTGACGGATCACGTCTGGATACACGGATGGATGCGACAAAAATGTTTCAGAAATGAATGTTTGAGGAATGAATAATCAATCGATCGGTTCAGTGCTAAGTTGATCGATTATTTTTGGTGGTTGCATGGACGGGGTATTATTATCATAGTGCAGAATGACAAAGGACGGATGGACAGTGCACACCTCATCATTAAACTGAGTTATTTGCGCAGTCGTTTGGTCACTGAGATTAGATTGTTCAGCTCTATATTTATGTATCATATAGGTATGTATGTAAATGCATTTCAAGAATATAACACATGCACACAAATACGTTGACTTATGATGACCTAGAATGAACCACTCTGCAAATGGATACAACAATTAGAAATATACTACTGAGCAAAGGCTCTGAATAGGCGATTCGTGCGTATATCGTGACGCTCCCTCGATGACCTTGAATTTTTTAATGGCAGTGTCCAATGATCAGTCGTCAAAATTCATATGGTACACAGCTCGCACAAAAGAACGTTGAGCGTTATGCATACAAATATTCAGTACAAATCCGGCTGGCGGTTAAATTCTATGATAATGCCTCTTTTAAATGTTGATTTTTTATGAAGTTTAGAAATGAATTTTTCATTTCCTTGCTCGGTCATTTTTATTTCATTTAAATGAATTGATTTGCGTTTAAAATAAATGATCAACAACTGATTTTTGCTCAAAAACGTTTTTTTGAAGGGAAGGCTGGAGAACTGAATTAATTATGTTTAGCGAATGAAGGTGAACTTATTCGTTTTTTCAAAAAAAATTTATTTTAAAATATTTTGCATGAAAACAACAAATACATTTATAGGCTTGAGATGATCATCTTGGATTGCACATATTAAATGAACATGAATAAATTATCACAGATAATCAATTACATCTCAGTATACTTACAATAATTATATCTCATAATCAATAAAAGATACTATTCATAATTCTCCAATGAATTTTATCTAACATCACAAATCCCTTCAACTCTCAGAGAACAATGGATCGTCAAATATAACTTGAAAGTAGCGATAAAATGTGAATAAATACAAGCAGTGTTGAAATTTGTTGGAATGCCGACGAAGGGAACAGACAAGATAAAGAAAGCAATACAGTCATTTCGAAATGACTTCCGATTGTTAACTTTTCCGAATGTTTTCTACGGCGTGTACACAAAAATGACCAATTGCTTAAAGATGAATCACATAATTAAATCAAAGAATAACCTATTAGATGATCAAGTGAAAACCGTTAATAAAACAAAGCAAAAAAAAAAAAAAACAAACAACAACAACGAATTATGCAAGGGGTTTCAATCAAAATGAATAAACTTAAGCAGCATTCAATACGAGCCATATTTGCTCTGACGATGGGATACTTGCAATTTGCTTTTGTTCATCGTTGTACTGCTTATTAACGAATATATTCGCGCGTTCGAATGCCTTAAATGAAATATAAATTCATCACAAGAAAAAATTCATTGAGCGAATATGTATGAACATGCAAGATCATTCCAACTATATGCATTGCGCCAAATGGTATCATCGTTTAAAATGCAAGCGATCTATTCCAATGATGATCCATTTTACATCATTCAACTGGACAAATTCATTGGATCAACTGAACAAACTTACATCAACAATACGCTTTTTAATGGGATGAAGTAGTACATCTTCGGTATCCTTGGCGCCAATGTACAAATCAAACGCCGAGTTAATCTGAAAACGGAAAATTATTGCTTAACATTAAAGTGATTCAACTGAATTCAGCCGAATAAGTTCAAATTTAAGTATCGCACTTTAACTGCTGACAAAAATCGAACAAATTGATAATGTTGATTAAAATTTAAAATAGTAGAATCTATTTCCCCACTAAAAAATGGGCGAATATTCAGTTTGATATTCAGACAATGTGGATGATGCTACATAGTTATGATGAAAAAATTAAGAGGAAAGCATAAAACAGTGCTTTTGATAGTCAATATCACTCCACTCACTTCTGGCCAAGAATGAGTTAATTTACGGTACGCCTGACTGACAAAATTTTGCATGGTTGTTGGCTGCAGCGTATCTTCTTTATTTAGATCGATATTTTCACCTTTCATGAGCTGAAAAAACTTTTCAAAACGTCAGCGAACATAATAAAACACAATCGTATAGCAGCGCAAGTAGAAATTATAAAATTACACAGCAAAAACGTAAAAATTACAGTGTAATCAGTGCTAACTTTAGAGAATGAAATGGGAGTATTTATCAGATATTTTGCAATGTGACAGTTAACATGCAATAGCAAAATGGTGCTTGAGCTAAATGACCAGATGAGAGAGGAGACACTCGTTTCCCGATTATTCTTCAATCGAATTTTTAACTGATAATTTAAAAAAAAAGCGGAAAAAAAGTCAAACAATCACCTCATCAATTTTATTCATATAATCGACAAGTTCAATAATAATCATATCAGATGCGCTGTTGATCAGTTCACGACAATGCGATTTTAGTCGAGCATCAATTATACGACGAAAATCACCGANTCCCGATTATTCTTCAATCGAATTTTTAACTGATAAGTTTAAAAAAAAAACGGAAAAAAGTTAAACAATCACCTCATCAATTTTATTCATATAATCGACAAGTTCAATAATAATCATATCAGATGCGCTGTTGATCAGTTCACGACAATGCGATTTTAGTCGAGCATCAATTATACGACGAAAATCACCGAGTTGTTCGGATACAGAGACCGGAACCTAAAGAGTACATTTTTCTATACATCAAAGGATGACTGCCACCAACATTATTAAATTTCTTGTTATCNCATCGAAAGAGTGAATAAAGCAAAAAATACCTGAAAAAGAAATTCCAGAAATGCATTTTTCGAATTCAGATCAAACCAGTGCTCACGATCATGGAAGAGTTGAGCGGCTGATGTTTTATACTTGCTAAGATCAAACGAATAGTCGCGTTGTAGCGCACATTCATCCAACGATCCCCCTCCACCTTCAGAATGTGAGAGGACGAATAAAAAACAATGCAAGCAAACAAATATATCAAGAAATGAACAGCTAAAAGGTTGTTTAGATGGAAGTGAGAGATGCGCAATTGAAAAGAAAAGAGCTAACCAGTGCCAGAAACGGATGAAGAGGGATTTCTGAATGGACTCGTTTGTTCACGAAGAATCAGCAAATGTTTCACAACAAACAACTGTGCATGCAACAGGCCCTGATAACGACCACTCTTTGTAGCAACTCGTTTTTCGATGTGCTCAGCCGCGTTCTTTAGTGAATCACAACATGCAGTTACAAGTTCTCTCGAAAGACACTCGAAAACACCAGGCTAAAAAGGTGATTAATGAACCATATATGGAGAAATAAAGAGAAAATGCAACATCAGTAGAACTTACAAAAAGGCAACTGTAAAGTTTCGACAAACATATTACGGTTCGTCGTAGAGTTGGATACCAAAGACAATTCAAATCGACCGCACACGTTGCGACTGCAGTTGTTGTTGTTGTTGTTAGGGGCTGAGACGCGACATTACTCTGTAGGTTAAATCTTATAACTTGGATGAAAACAATAAACAGAAACGACTTAACAAATTTGGTGAATAACTTGGGCATACTAAACAAAACTCATTAAGGCACAAACGAAACAGAATTAAGCGATAACAGCAACAAGATAATATTAACCTTAGCACCAAGCTGCTTAGCAATATCATTCATCATCACCAATTTTTCTGGATAAGCAATATCGCCAGGTGATGGCTGATAATTCGCCACTTCATTTTCAGCATACAGAACGGACCTGAACCATGAATTCATACACTGGTGTTACTAAGATGAATTGGTACTGTTGTCGATATGCTGTCGGAACGCTCAAAACAAGCGAAAATTTTCCAAGTCCAAAAGAGAAGGCTCTCTCATAGCACTTTTCTGTCTGCTTCAATTACGAACATTGCGTGTATCGCTCACCATATCCGTCTGACGTCTGAGAGATTTTTTTGCATGGAGAGACAGAGAGAACGACAAATTGGAGACAGTATAAACGCTGTATAATGGAATTGTTACTGATCACGAACGTTCAGAAAGCATCATTTATTTGATTCACGAAGATTGCAGAAATTCGTCACTGTACAGAAGTCCAGCTAAAAATTCAAGATGAAGCACACGTCCAGGTTCCTCAATGAACTCGCTCGTTGTTAGCGCTTCGACAACATATCGACAACAGTACCGATGAGTTCCACCATTTCAAATAAGCAGCTGCAAATGTGTACCGATAGAAGATGCGTTCAGAAATATCCATAACTAGTTCTCGCATAACACGAACAAAACCACTTCGAGGATTAATCGCATTGCCGTCCCTGTCAACACAAACATTGCTTTGATCAGGCGATGATGATCGCATAGGTGCTGCATCCGACTGCGGTGGTGCTACTGTAGACGCAAGTAACATTGATGCCATTAGGCCACACCGTTCTTCAATCATTTCCACCTTGAACAACACATCTTATCATTCCCTGCTCGCTGTTTCACTTATTCATTAAAATCTCTGAGAATAACCTTGAGGATTGTACTCAGTTCGGTGAGCGTTTCGAGATGCGGATTATGAACGATTATTGGACGTAAAATATCGTAAAAAAGACGACAAAACGATTCAATGAAATCATCGAATGACGTCAGCGAGGCGATAAATGGCGCTAGAACATTCCTCAATGAACTCGGTGCTTCAGACGAACAACGTGAATGAGGACTCGCTCTTTCATCACCTCAAAATCAACAATTTCACAATATATGCCGATGAAGTCAAATGCCTGCAAGGTTCCACTATTTCCTTTTTACTATTTAGGTGAAATAAGAATTCCATTCGAGGAATGATTTCACAGTGAAATGATAGTAATGAAAATACAACTCAACAACATAAGAAGAATACGAATTGCAACCTGCGACGTTGAAGAACTGTTTGTAAAGGCGAAATTCATCATCACACAAACGCAAAAGAAATGTGCATCCGTTACGTGTTAATGCACACGAACTATTCGCATACTTACTGAAAAATTAAGTGAAACTAAATTTTAAAAGGACGAAAAACAAAAATTTCAGCTCTTTGCTTTACAATATCAAAGGTAAAAATAGACCTAGATATTCGGACGATACGGTATCGTGGTGTTGGAAGATGAATGCAATTCTAGTAACGAATGCGAAGAATTAAAGCATCTCCACGTAAAAAGTGATAATTTCAATGAAAACATTATGATGATGATCATAATAAGAGCAATGATAATAATTCACCTTAATAACTGATCAATGGTTTTTTGAACAATAGGAGTCAAAAGTTGTTGTCGAATAGAGAAGTATGCTTGCTGGCAATCAGCAATCATTGACTCGAATTCGGGAACATTTGCAAAACGATTCTCAGCAATTGATAACGCCGAAAGAACGGCATTTGCTCTTGCCGCAAAAACACCATACAACAACGCGAACGTATCGTCGTCACTATACGTGTGTTCGATACCTGTAATTATCATCTTTTTTGGTTATGAACGCCTAAGGTTGAAGAAAGAAACATTCAGAGGAGCAAATATACTAGAGCTTTAGGAACGAACCGAGCTGTGCTTGTCGTTCGATGACTGCATTCGCACTTGCTTGTAAATCAGCGAGAACACCACTTCGGATTGCGGTCATCGCTTTTGACAAACACTGTTCATATCTTGAGATGTACAACGCTGAATCTTTATAGTAGACATGTGCTCGCAAGAACGTTAAGCACTCATCGATGGTAGTCAAAAGTTGAGTGAACGCCTGACCAGTTACTGATAGTTTTGAGGAGGTTAGTTTCTTCATTATCATTTCATATTGCGTATAATAGTAAAGATTTGCACGAATCTGCTCGGCACCAGCGGCGATCTGTGTATGATGCGACATCATTTGATCACATGCGTGATGTAATGAGCACGTACGTTCAGTTACCAACTCGTAGCTGGATCGTAGCTCGTTCATTGTTGCTTTGCAACGATTGTAACGTTCCGTCAGAGAACACATTCGTTGCATGCAAGCACGTAACGACCTCACTTCATTACTTTTATCACACACACCATCCGGAATATGAGTGCACTCATCTCTCGACAGCAACAACTCTCTTAGGAAACTGCAATGCACTTATCATTCGAAATTAGCTGAAAAATATGCTTCATTCGGAAAATTGCAAACTGTATTCTCACCTATACAGTTCTTCCTCCCCCAAATCTTCCACTGCCTCTGAAGATTCTTCGTTTGCCTCTGAAACATTTCCAATTGTCAACTTCAACGATTCAAGACAAAAATCTTGAACCCGCAAGAACGGATCAATGCCCACCAACAACAATACGAAAGAGCGGTTTGATTCCAAACACCCATCTAACGAATCGCATTCCTGAACAATCCATCGAAAACTAACCATCATCGGGATTAGGCGATGGCAGGGCATATGTGGCCACTTTTGCAGCTAGAAGCTGCGTGGTGTTTCGATGGAGCGATCCGAAATTATCCATTGAATCACCTCAGTGTGCAAACACCACACGAAATGCACGATCTTAGATGAGAACACGTTTATTGCTATCAATATTATTATCAGAGTGGGTATTCTTTATTCATTCATGTTGATATTATGGTTCACAAAAAATTATTCCATATCGGTTGTCTGATGGTGATAAATGGTTACTTTGATGCATATACTCATCATATATTCAAAACGACGATCAGTAACGCCATGAATCGATTGGAAATATTTTGATGGAAATAAATTATAAAAAGTTATTATTGGCCTCTGCTTAAAACAAAAAATAAATCAAAACTATATTCAAAATTACATTCACTCGAACAAAAAAAGAACCGAAATAAATTTTCAAACGATAAAAAACATGAACATAAATGGATACAACAGGCCATCGTTTGATAAGACGGAACACGAATGCGATTTGTGCTCCTCAACACTTCCGATAATAATTGGAATAAGTTAATCAAATAATCAACAAACTCCATTCAAGATGGATACAGCAAGAATAATCGTTAAAACATTAATGACAATAATAATAGATAACAATAATAATTCAACAACGAACTTGTGGAGAATGAAAGCGAACACCTATAGAACAATACATTTCCAGCATGAAAAGTTGTAACGAGAAAAAGTAATGGCATATGTAAAAACGAATGAATATCACAAATTGATTTGATTCGAACATGAGCCAGACTACTTCCACAAATGAGAATGAATAGCTGGACGATGAAAAAAAGAACGTTTCACGCTCAGTTCAATTGCTCGATCACAACATAGCTATCTATCCTTTTCATCGGAAAATACTTTAGCCAATTCCAAAATCAAACAACGAACTGATAGCAGCAGTTCTTCACTGCTTTGATGAACCATAAAATTTTCGAGTGAAGGAACAACGACAAAGACCGACTGATTGATATAAATATGTATATTCTATAAATGAAAGCCTCGAACAAAACTATATAACAACATCAATCAATACGTGTAACTGGCTTGCGTTGTCTCGGTGATCCTGGTTTAGGCGACTTATCTGAACAAACATTCAAGTATTCACTTTTATGAACAACCAATTCAGTCATCAGTACACAATCGTAAATTATTGCAGCTGAACCCCTCCAATTCAATTTTCGAATAGCATAGAGAAAAACTAGAACATGAAAGTATTACGACCATTAGCAAAAATGAAAATTACCATAACTATTATTGTAAACTGCTGGCAGCAATTTTAGTTCTGATATCACCAGTGACATTCAGTGAATTAAACCCATTTACTAACAATCAGGAAACTTACTGTGATTGAGCACTTCTCGTGGTATCCATTCGAAATCCACTTCATTTTTGTTGCTCGTGCCCGTCTCAATGACTTGTGACTGCTGACGATTCTTTGCCATACCATGTTTGCGTGTTAACTGCAAAGTTGACGTTGAAAATTATAAAAATAGTAATGGTACTGTCTGAATGAAATTGTGATCTATTCGTGTTATGATGATAATGATTATTCGTGTTATATATGCCACTGTAAAATTATATAAGACATCGTTCATTTCACAAACTAAAAACATCCACATACGACCACATTCATAGTTTCCATTCCCACTAGATCTGAATATCTCTTGTTTTTTTCCGAACGACAGTATAAATACGAACATCTAATCATTATCATTATCATTACTTCTGTTCCACTTTTTTTTCTGACGAATGACTTGTGAAATCGATTAGTATTATTTGTACGGAACGATTATAACCCACAAACGATTAATGAATTCTAGGAACAATCAATGCCAAGAAGCCGAAGTGAATAATGATGAGAACAATAAAATATAAATGGAGAGATAGACCTTGGAGAGGAAATGCTGTCCAGCAAGTAATATTAAAACTACTGCAGCTGCGAAGATGATATACAGAAATCCTGTTTCAGTATTGAAATTGGATTCATCTTCAACGATCATAACAGTTTCATTGAACAGCGTACTCATGAACATTGCACCCTCTGAGTCAACGTAGTGTAACTCAACAACTAAACCCAACGGACGACCAGCGAATTGTTCAGACGGGAAGAATGCGTAATCGAAGGATGCTTCTTGTTTCGGCGCTACAACTCGTTCATATCGAGCCAATGTGAACTAAACTGTTTTTCTTATGACCACACAAAAGCACATTCAATCAATCAACAGCTTATTCATTCCATCATACATTGTGGTTTACCAGCATCAATGGATTACCATCCAAATGCTTCTTGCTTCCTATACTATCTAATTCTCTCATAAGTAAAAGATCTGAAAAGATTTACAAAGCTTTTCTCATCCAAATTTTTTTTTTCAATTCTAAAATCCTTCAAAAATTTGTATAATCAGTCGTTTGAGTAGGTCTGAACAAATTATTCAATTTCGATAGATTAAAATCACAAAACAACTGAATTAATAACACAAACAAAATGGAACGAACATTTTGAATGTGATAGCTGAAGTCTTGTGGATAACGGAATGATGTCTCACAATGTCGTACAATGAAATCTTTTTCGCCTCGATTATGAAAACCAATTAAAAACTTCACCAATTTACCGCCTGGTAAATCTGAAAAAAAAAAGAAATTAAAGTTGACGTGTATTTTGGTGAAGTTGTTTACTTTTTCGAGATAGATCTTTCGTAACTGTGGTTATGGATCAAGTGATTATGGAGTACCGGTATTAATGGACGAATATATGCGAATAACAAAACATTTTCGTAGGGCTCAACATTATTCTAATTCTTGGGGATTAGAAATGTTAAGCCATTAAAAATATTGACCAACCAACCCTTTGAATTCTCCGGTTGGGTAAAAAGAAACGAAACATATGCATCGGGTGATGCACCAATAGTCTCCGATTGCTCCTCAAGGGTATCCTGAAATATTCGGCCGAAAATAGTCACGAAATATTAATTCTCAAACTAGAATAATGATTCTGCATGAGTGGCTTTCTTCCATTCGAACTCACATGAAAATAATACGCTGGACATTGTGAGATTAAAAGAGCAAATTTTGGATGCAAAATTTCTCACGGCTCACCTTCTTAAAATGTGACTCTTCAAAACAAAAATTAAAACCGAAGGCGGGATGATTAGATTGCGATATGAATTCAGACATGAAATGAATAAAAGATAACCTTCACAACACTTGATGCATCGTCATTGATTACTTCGTCTTCTACATCAGCATCCGAAGAAGCACCTTCTAACCTTGTCAGTCCTACAAAAATTCAGTAAATTCAGTTCAAAATCGCATAGCACATCACAATGAAAATTCGTTTTTGATTGTAATTTTATTATTTGATTCACCACGTTTATCAATGCAACAGTACGGGGACTACTATCATTCTAGTACGACAGAAGTAAATTAATGAGAGAAATATTTACCTTGCGCAATGATCAAGACAAAGAAGAACGTTGACGACGCGAGTTTGAAGTGAAACATATCTATCAGCTAGATCAATCTCACCAAAACACACCTATAAAGAATGGTCATTTATTGAAATAACCGACATTATCGAAAACTATTCCGACTGACTGACATGAAAATTTAAAGGAAAAAGTCAGAAGGAACAAAAAAAAAATCCACTCAAAAGAGCAGTGGGATGACGATTCAACGAATAATCTAAACCATTCATTTCATCCAAAATCAAAACAAAACACCAATTAAAAACATAAAAATCGGTCAAAATGCGATTCCGTTATTAAATTAATTCTCGCCTCATGAGTCAAGCTTTGATGAATACACACTACATAAAGCACTAGCACTGCGCTAAAAGACTTCTTTTAACATCAACAATAAATAATTCTCATAAACAAAATTAATCGTTAATTTATATCTAATATTGTAAATTCATCATTACGTCGCTCGTATTCCAACCACTTTGCAGTGTTTGGCAACAATCTGAAAGTTCGAATATACCGTATTGCGAACTGCAAATTCATCGCATCGAATTTCTCTGTTTCAAATTTCATCAAAATTTTCACTCTACAAAGCGATAATTGAATGTGTAAAACGAGTGGTTTCATTCCGGGATAACTGAATGTGGCTGAAGATTCAATATTTTTCGAATTCTTGAATCGGCCATACAAACGTATTCGTCGAATGAAACCTCGTTTGATGGGCTTTTAAACGAGTGCTAGTAATCACATAAGTTTCAAAGAACACTGAAACGATACAACCATGGGAGAGCATATCTGATCAAATGAATCTAACAACAAATGATGCAGTTCTTTTCACTGATACGTTATCAGAATATACTAGGGTTTGCAAAATCCCGACGATTTTTCAATCCCGGGATCAAAAAATTAATGAAATATCGGCACTGGGCATGCTTAAACACATTTTTTCGAACCAATATGTTCATTAATAATCAGAACGGAGCTAATTCAACAAATTATTGAACAAATCCAAGGAACTAAGTATTCAAATTCAAATTGATATTTCATATAATGATGCCAATGATCATGCCGCAGAGGCATACTCCATATTCTATGCTAAGGCATCTTGTCATCTCGGGTCTAAGCTAATAACAGTACACTTGCATGTGAATATGAAATTCTTGATTCTCAAACACTTATTTGCAATGCTTTAACTCCATTTTCTTTCAGTATTAACATAAACTGAATTTTGCCATTTCGGAAATTTCGATTTTTTACAAAAAAATGCACCGCATGAATTATATCATTCGAGCTTTGGAAAAATTAAAAGTTTAGAGTTTATGTAAATGTAAAAAAACGTCTGCAATGGATTTTCATCGAACCATCGACCATTTACATGTTTGATAATTTCGACCAAAAATCATGCAAATGTACTTGATATTCAAGCTTAAGATCATTTTAAATGGAACAACTTTGCTCACTTTGGCGATGAATTCTCACTATGAGTGAACTCAGTGAGAATTAAGTACATTTCGATCGGATGGAAACGTTTCCAAATAGCGAAGTAAAAAGACTTGCAGTCTTTGGAACATGCAGCTGAATTAAAAAATGGAATATTGAGGCCGAACAAATCTTGTGGGAGGAAACGACTCAAAATTTCATTGAACTTCTTTGCTCTTGGTTTTTATTAGAAAATGTGATTATCTCTGTTAGTCTACGTAAAAATCTATCCAGATGAGTGTGATATAAAGCAATGAAAAGCAGAATAATCAGTTGAATATTCAATGAAACGTTACGTAAAAGTTCATCGAGCTGTCGTTGATCATGTCATTCGTCGGAATTGTGTCTATTTCCTTAGCTGAACATCAATGGTAGAGGGCAAACAGCAAAGATAACTGCATATAAATTAGATGGGAATGATTAAGGCCTGCTTCAAGATTGGCATATTATTAAAATTCACACAAATTGATCTGTTTTATCAAATCCTGAAATCCCGGGATTTTTCAAAACTTGAATCCCGGGATCGGGATCAGAACTGTAATCTCGGGATCCCGGGATCTCGTGCAAACCCTAGAATGTGCTCATCAATATAAGTAAATAAGCTTAAAATAATGTTGACACATATTCATGAAGATATAAGTATGTTTAAGAAACAATACAATCATGGACAATACACGAGTTCAGCATTCAGCAGCAATCGATCAAATTGCTGTACAGAATCGAATCGGACTGCTTTAATTCAGTCGGGAATGCGATGACTAAATGGGGAAATTTTAATGTAAGGGATCAGTAAAAATAAAGATGAATTCGTTGATTTCATCAGCAATGATTTTACTTCATTCATGAAGACAGCACTGGCTATTTTACTATGAAGGCAGCATTGGCTATTCTCAGAAGAAATCACACTACCAGTAAATCAGAGAATCGGAATACGATATCCAGCAACTCTTTTTCAATTATTCGAACCTTGTTTTATACTCATTTGTTTTATTTGTACAACAATGTTTTCATATTGTTCATTGTGAATACTGAATAAACGAAATTTATCCACACTGTATAACGCTTCTGAAACCTCATTTCTACTTCCAAATTTGATGGATATTACGAAGGGAAGTGGTGATACTGAAAGTGGCTTAATGCTATCAGAAAAAATGCGATCGATTGGCAAGCAACATGAAGTAAAAAATTCAAAAGTTAATGTAGTCTTTGTTGCGAAGATTTTGATAAATCGTACATATCAAATTATCAGTTCAGTGAAAGAATATTTCCTGATAAAAACATTCAGTCATCAATCAGTGAAGGGCGATCGTTTTCATTACAAATCAGTTGAAGAAAAGGAAAAACAATAACATAAAAGAATGATTTGAACGAATTAATTCTTTCTTCATAGCGCATGAAGATTTTTCATTTCAGAAGTGAAATAAAGATTACAATAACGAACATATTAAAAATATTTTCCTTTCTTCAACAATATGAACCAAATGAACACATATTCTTGATGCATCAAATATCCGGTATTAAAAAAGCCGATAACAATAGAAGAAATATCTCGAAACGGATACAATGAACAAGTGCATAGTCAACCAGGTCAAACCACACCATCTTCTGGTCAAAATGCACATGACCTCTTTGTGCATCTCGTTCTTTCTCTACCTATGGTAAACGTCCATAAAAGACAATCCTTGATGGACACTGCTCACATAATCGGTTCAACAAGTCAAGATATGCTCCAACAACTGTTCATCTACCTAACGATCACTACTTGGACGGTATCTTCGATCCCGGTGGATAACGGCGTTGAAGGCAAGCCAGAAATAGAGTGTGGACCGACGTCAATAACAGTCAACTTCAACACAAGGAATCCGTTCGACGGACATGTTTATGTGAAGGGATTGTATGACCAAGAGGGATGTCGCAATGATGAAACAGGACGTAATATTGCCGGTATATCGCTGCCCTTCGATAGCTGTAATGTGGCTCGAACTCGATCCCTGAACCCTCGTGGTATATTTGTTACTGCCACGGTCGTCATCACATTCCATCCGCTCTTTGTTACTGAGATCGATAGAGCTTATCGTATACAATGCTTCTATATGGAGGCTGATAAGACTGTCAGCTCACAAATCGAAATCTCTGAAATCACCACTGCATTTATCACGCAAATCGTACCAATGCCTATTTGTAGATATGAGGTTAGTTGAAAAAACATATTTCATTTGTTTTCAACATAATTCACTCATTTCCGTTCGGCCATAGGAAAATGCAATCAATATCTGTCAATAAAACGAATAAATAATGCAGATCTTGGATGGTGGCCCAACAGGACAACCAGTTCAATATGGTTTAATTGGACAACAAGTGTACCACAAATGGACATGCGATTCAGAAACAGTCGATACATTCTGTGCAGTAGTGCATTCGTGTTTCGTGGATGATGGAAGTGGGGATAAAGTGGAACTTTTGAATGAAGAAGGATGTGCACTTGATAAATATCTTCTGAACAACCTGGAATATCCAACGGATTTGACAGCTGGTCAAGAAGCTCACATTTACAAATATGCCGATCGAACGCAACTCTTCTATCAGTGTCAAATTAGAATCATGATAAAAGAACCAAACAGTGAATGCGAACGGCCTCAATGCACGGAACCACAAGGATTCGGAGCTATTCGATCAACAGGTGATGAAGTTGGCAATACGCGCGCGTTGCGACTTCTTAAGAAACGTTCTATTGACAGCGATAACACGTTGGATGTTCGTACGGATATCAGTGCCTTGGACATTCTAGAGCAGGTGATTATTATCTAATATTTCATCCATAAAAATTGGCTTTTTTCTCGATGTTATCGAAGCAATCCATGATTCTTTAAGGAACAAAGCTTACCAACAAATCGTGGCAATCAAGTGTCTTCGTTTCAAAATGGTATAAGCGTATCATCACCATCAGCTGGATGGCTATTAATTAGCATAAGCGGCGTGTTGTTGAGTTTGATCGCTATTTCAGTAATACTGATTTTATCACGAAAGTCATAAAGCGTTACCTCTCTAGCACATCAAACTTGAGCCTGCTTGTTTTTGAATTTCTTCTAAGCTATTTATTTTTACTCAACAACTATTCAGAGCTTGAAATTATCTTGGTAGACGGCTGCGAAGTGTTCTAACATTGGTTCACTTTCAAAGTGAATGCTACGTTTTGGCCAAATAATCATGCCAGAGGAATACCGAGTGAGCATTTTCGATGTTCCGTTCAGCAAGTGAAACATCGAATTTATGCCATATCATAATTTGATTAGAAAATTCGTCTTGTATCATGGCACTGGAGCCTGACTGCCGAAACTGAAGGGGCGTTCCTCCCCTCACAGTTTAAGCTGAACTAGTGAATCTGTATGTTTGTTCATTCATTTGTAACCCACTATGCAGGGAGTCTAATCAATCATCTTTACTCAATGTGACACGATTCGACGACATAAATATTCATGATCCTGATCGTAAGAGTAGCCAAGGAAAGGGGGAGAAGAAATTAGAAGGGAGAAGAACGTGCGAAAAAAGGGAAAAGGAAAAAAAATGATAAATGGAGATAAACAAACCCCAAAATTCAGCTGTTTCTTTGAGACTAGACCATTTTATGCCTCCACCCCCTTTCCATGAAACAAATTCTGGCTGCGTTGTTGATCATGATCAAATGGTCGTATCATATATGTTGATGATTATGTTCAGTTAAATTGACTAATTACATCGTGTATACATACGTCGTTGTTTATTCGAAGTGATATGATCTTATTGTTTTGTAAATAAATTTTTCCGAGTTCTTCTTCATCTCATCTGCGACAGAATTTATCATGAACCAATACCGTTGAAATATTTGATCAGCTGCAAGTTTCCAAATCGCATAATTTTACTGCTAATTTTTCATGATCACAAAGCGGTATTTCGATTCCTAACCTTCTTCTACTGTCAATATTACACGCTTCAAAAATTTGGAATAGACACCATACCGTCCTATTTGCAGGTCATTCCCTAATACCGAGGCACGTGCAAAATGTAGGTGTCATTTTTCATCAGAAAAAGCTCCGCCGAATTTCCATACTTCGTACAATTCCACAGAATGATTAATAGTTCATTTTCTACGAAACAAAGGTACATTCTGCACAAGTTTTTTTTTTGGACTGAGGTATTTGAAGAAAAAATCTTGAAAGATTGTTTTGATTTGGTTATTATTCAGAACTGTTTTATTGCACATTTTTTCACTTATTTCATCAAGTGTTCAAAACAAAATTCATCCTAGATATTCAGAGATAATAAGCAATACCACATATTTGCCATCAGAACATCCGCATTCCATCTTAAAATTATTGGAAAACATTCTTTCACTGTCTTCAAATATTTCAGTTATTTCCTGAAAAAATTGACAAGATAATTGAATTTGATCAAAATTAGAAAGAAGGTATGGTTGATGACGTCAAACCAACGTTGATTCATTCACTTTTTGCAAAAAGTTCGTTTTAAGATGCAACTGAAAATAGAAGGGAAATGCGAGAATAAGAAGACAAGGAACATATGTTCGTACTACTTTTTATTAATTGATCAAGCTAAAGAAGTGCAGTGAAACAGGAAAGCAAAGATAAGTAGTAAAAGAGTGAATATAAAAAGAAATATGAAAAGTATTGTTGCTAAAAATTAAATGCATTGTATGCAGTCGGCAATTAACAGATTTAATAGATTACTTGATGGAACAATCATTCCAGAAGTAAAACCACATAAATATGAAAGACTAAACGGATTGTTGCTATTATAAACATCGTTCTAAGTTATCCTGGTTGTTCCTACTGAGCATTGGCTAATTCTGTGTTTTGTTGAAGTACTCGTTTTATTGCGATTGAACCGACGCAAACAGCAAAATGCTTAGAACAGCAGTCGCTGTTGGTATGCTGCTTCATATTTTCATAATTTCATCAGCCAACATCGAAGCAAAACCCATCCCGAATCAACAATTGATTCCTGATCAGAATATTCCGGAGGAAACACCCGGTTCGTACCCTCGTTCGTTTTTCTCGCACAATTGCAGGTGAACGTACGTGAATAATAATAAGAAGTAGTCATCTGTGCTGCCACATTCATCGGAAAGTTTAAAATTTGTCTCTCGTACAAAAGTTCTGCTAAAAATGAATGGAAGTTAAGTGCATGGATCACTGGCAGTTGACATCGTCCGTCCATTTTCGATACACTTGTGACGAGCAATAGATTTTATGGAGATGAATAAGGACCTATAAAATGGCGTATCTACTTGTTTTTTGTACGACGTATTTACACGATTATACGTAAACTTTGAAAACAATGAAATCAGATAAAAATCCGATTGCAAATATGCGCTGTTTACAGAACAAAAATTTCAACGATCGGACCGCAACGGTGATGCTAAATTGACGTTCGATGAATTTCTTCACACCGATTTGCCTTACGATCGTATCAAAAAAGATGAATTTGATATGTACGACATAAACAGTTAGTAATGGTGCCTCATAAATGAGCAAATATTCAGCCACTAAATAATCTAATAACAAGTGGAAGCAGAGAGTTGAGACTGAAAATTTTCACCAAACAAAAAATTCAGGGGCAAATAATGAAATGTTATTGGTGGTAATTATTATATTCTGAGCACTTGGATAGATAGCGTTGGCTTGATTGATCAGCATGAATGAATACAAACAAAACGGTAGATTTTTGTGACGAAAGCTTTCGACATGAATGTACCTAATACTAATGAGTAAACATTTGAAAAGGTTCATGTGGTGAGTTATATTTTTGAATTCATTCTGCGTTGTTTTCGTTTATTAAAGAAGATGGCTTGGTGAGTCGAGAGGAGTACGATGAACACTGGCGTCAACAGAAAGAGAAATCAATCAATCGACGAGCTAAATACTTCGGGAAAATTTATGAGGTTCATCTTATTATTTTTATTTTTAGAAAATATGACGTTCCATTTTTTTGCTACTCGCATTCCGAAATCGCCCCAATGTTGCCACTTTTTACACCGATAACCAAGAGACGTACTCTTATAGATGAAATCGTTCTTTAAAAATTTATTTCAGTATGCCTTCACGCAGTCGTTAGCACAATCGCTTTGTGCATGAATCGTTGCACTCTGTGATAACAAACATTCGAACAAATTTAAGATTATTATACCTTCAAATGATTACTTGTTTAAGCATCATGAATGAGCATTGCAAAAATACCCATGGTACGCTAGCAATCATTTTTATTCGATCGCTTTTTTTGGTACAGTTAGTTGAACTCTCTTGAATAATTATTCGCATTTGAAGGATTTCGACGAGAATTTTGACATGAAATTGAGCGAAGATGAAGTGAAAAAAATTCTGGCTAATCGTTTCTTGTTGAAAACGAAACCGAATTTCGGTGAATTCTTTTCCAAGTTCGATAAAAACAACGATGGTGGACTCGATATTCATGGTTGGTTGATCACAGAGTAATTTTGCCTGGTAGTTTAATTAGCTTGAATGAGTCGATATTTTGAACAGTTTGTTGTTAGATAAGATGCCTCAATATGATCCTTTTTGCATTGCAAGGAGCTTGAGTAATGATTAAAAGAAGCAATGATTTTTGATGTTGTAACACAAAGTGATAACAACAATCCAACGATTAACTCAAACGTATTGTGCTACGAAGATGAATGGCGCCATAACTCATAAACGATTATCATCATCAGTTTCTCTCATTAATCAATTGTGATCGCTGTAGTTCACAACAAATTAACTATCGTTCATAAGTCAAATATTCATTCATATTTTATCAAATGATTTTCAAAATTTTCAAAATAGAAGAAATTTGGTTGTGATATTTCACAAAATTTCACTGAAGAATTCGTTCATGGGAGTACTTTTTAGAGACGATGTTCAGCTAGTATTTCACTTGAAATACTGAACGTTACTGCCAATGATTAATGGACAAAACACTAAATGACTGATCAGTAAAAACGAATCGGTGATATGGAGTTTTTCAATCTTGTTTGTTTTGCAGAGTATATAAATTTCGATAAGAATATGCCATTCGAAGAACTGGAACCTCTCAACGAATGATGTTGATAGCCAGGAATGATGCGTATACATACGCTGATAATCACAGAAGAATCGTCAACGGCTTACTCAAAATGCATTAAAATCTGCTCGTTGTATTGCTTCAATGTGAATGAATTATCCAACTTCATAAACGTACACTTTATTTGTGGTCTTTTAAGAGTATGATTAAGGTTCATGAAAAGGTATATTTTATAATGTTATTTCTCTGCCCTCATTTCATCTACCAAAAATTCCTTAGTTGGTGTGACGAATGAATTTGAAAAATAAATGAATCTTCTTAACAAATGTTGTAATAATCTAAATATATACACACCTATCATCGGTAGAAGAAATCAATTCCATTTCTTCTTTAGTTGGCGTCTTATGATTACACAACAATCAACGAATGAACATTGCAATAGTTTAAAGTGTTGGATGAGCTAAACTTCAGAATATATGACTGAACACGAACATTCTCTCAAGATTAGCAATGTTCAATATTGAGTTAAAGGTCGAAGTTTAATGTTGTCTCATTTCATGCCTTTATCCTATTGCCTTTCTAAACTATTAAAATTTTCTTTATCAGTCTTATCGGCTCATATTGATGAGCTAAACTTCTGGCATTGTTCTTAGATAATTCATTTGTATTCTCATTGACATTTTTGAAAATTTCGTGGAATTAATCTCATCGTTTTATTTGTCCCACTGAAATCCAAGCAACTTTAAATCTGATGAAAATACTTCTTAGAAATTTAGTTTACAAAATAAAAATGACGAAGAATACGCGTAGAGAAGTTATTCGATTGGTTGGTTTAACACGATTTAGACGTGCGAGTGTCGAACCTAGCCAACGAAATTATTCGATGAGACACCGTCATCGTCAAATGAGTAGACAGTTTGGATTGTGAAACATAATGATCCCTCACTTTGAGGTTTCAGCATAGACCACACAGTATTCTGAAAAGGAGACCTCAAGAGTTGATTGCAATTCAATTTCTTGAATCTGTTGCTAAATGCTCGACCGGTCACGCTTGTTATGAAAGAGAAAAGCCAATGGAGGGCTTTTGAAAAGCACAATTTTGAGAGTTTTTTCGAAACTCTCAAAATTGTGCGTTTAAATTGTACTCTACAATGTTTCGAACAATGTAGTTCATCATACCAAATAAAATTCTGAAACGTAAAGAATTTGATTGCTGAAATGAATAGCGAATTCAATGCTCGGACATCGAGAACAACAGCAAAAAAAGAAACAAAGTTTTAGCAGTTACAATGAAAAGACGGCTACCGACTCGTTTAGCAGTGAAAAATGCATTTGAGACATTCTGTCAGGTTCAATTAGTGATACAGTCGATGATTTACGGATGGCAAAAAACGAAGCATTTTTCATTGCTGATAGCGGAAAATTATATGAGTAGAACCGAAAAAAGAACATGAACCACTGAGTGAAGTCACTTCGTTGGTTCTTATCCTTGAAGGAATAGATCGAAAACAAAATGAGTATGTTACGTAGCTAGAAAAAAGTACTAATTGTGAGCATGAGCGGTAATTGAGTAATATTGAGAAGTGTTTTCAGTCTTTTTTTAAACTGCTATCGATGGGAACTTCTATCAGAATGTTTCACAAGCGGTGACCTGAGAAGTAGTTGCATGATGTGCAGATTCACGTAGAAGCTATTTCTTAAAGATTCATTTGGTCATACAATTCAATGATGAAGAGAAAATGTCTCAAAAATAGACTAATGCCAACCAAAATAGGCTCATTTCATTGATCGATATTTTTGATCGATTACTGGTTTTCATGGGAGCTTCTTATTATTTTAGTGTTTCACCATGAACGATAAAAGAACTGAAAATTGCCCTACAATAAAATGAAGACGCAATTGTGAGTGAGAGTGTTTCAAAAATTTATTGCTTCAGAGATAAATGTAAATGTATTTTGTTGGAAACAATTCCAAGAATTTACAGCAAGTGTTTAAAATATTTACGCTATTTCTTTTCAATTGTTTTCGCTATGCGTTGATCGAAGTAAGAAACCGGCTCTAATTAAGAAGAACGCAATGAATGCATTTGGTTGTACCTGTATAGAGGTAAGTAAGTGTGTCTGCGTTATTTCAATAATGATGAAAATGAAAATTATTGTGAAACTGAGAATGATTTCCAAATCAGTTCATCATCGTCAGTACACGTCCTATTGCGAAAATGATTGATTGGTGAAATAAAAATATAATTAAATGATTTATTCGAATGCCACCAAAATTATTATATCATTTCTTTTGAAAGTGCATTTAAAAAGTGATTGTTTTGAATCATTTCAATGTGTTTCATCGTAAACAATAACAGAAATAATAACGCGTGTACTTGTACTAAAACTGAAGATGCTTAAGTTAAGATGATCAAGGTCGTATCATTGATGAATTAAACGAAACGTTTGAACAGAATCTTTTCATCGAAATTCTGAATGATTTTTTCCCAGTAGGGCAAATTTTACTCGCAAGAATTTTGTTCTATCAGCTAGAAGGAAACAAAGTGAGCGACGTAATCCTGGTCAGTTGGATCTGACATTAACGAATATATCAATAATGATACTGAAAATAACAGTGGTGATAATAATCACAATAACAACTATCATAATGATGCTCACAACTATCAGTGCTATTGCCACTAGTATTGATGTTATCACTAGTATTGATAGTAACTGGTATGTTGACTGTCATTACTTATCTGTATAATAATAATTCTTATTAACGGTATTAATAGTGTTTTGATGCAGTCGAGATGAAATTCAGATGCGACAGCAAATCTGTCAATTACGTCGTGGTGGTTATTCTGTGATATTATAAACAGACGTTTACTTAATTGCATCGTATCGCACTAGCAAACTATCATTGTGATTCGCTGTATGAAGTGGATGATAGCACCTCAGCTAACTGATTATGTGCTTGATCCAAACGATTGCTTGAATGAATATTTCATCTTTTACTTCTTAGTACTGGTGTAAATTTCAGTCAACATCATTTATTGCAGAGTGTAAAAAAACTGGTCGGCACTCAAGATTGATTCTATGAAAATATTTCAGTGTTTTCATGTGTTTTATTTTCAGTACACAAACATTTGGGTATAGTGTTGTTTTAAGAAAGTTAACGAATGTATTACGAGCATAAAAAACGATGCGATTGCTATTAAAGCGCGATTGTCATTTACATACGACGTCATCTGCCAGATTGATGAACACACTCATCAACTATTCATCTAATTGAAATTCCTTTCAGCAATTAAACAAATATGGATAGCAGCATTTTGTTGAGCAGTTTGTAACGGTACTGCGTTCATTTTCATCGAATGTGTGATGCGTCATAATTTCATTAACCCAAGTATGTATCCTCTACTTATTGCCGCATACCATTACCACCTATAATCGCTCCTTTACAGAAATTCATGGAATTGAGGCGCTGAAGTGAATGACCTTTCTTTCTTCTCATCGGAATGCTGCTATAATGAAGAAGAAGAATGTCTTGAAATTTTTTGAAGTTTCTGACGCTTTGTGTATTATTGATGGTAAATGCTACGCTCCACCCATAAAATGACGAACTAACGAATGAATCAAGTGATAAACACAGGAACAACGACCAACCGAGAAACATCGAGTTTTGTTTATTTCGTTGTGACATGGAAAGAATTCATTTCATTGATGGAATAATAATGAATGATTTGTTTGTTGAGAATATCACATCGAATTACGCCTATAAAAGTACGATTTTTCTCATTTAACCAACAATTCAGTTCTTGTTGGTTGTCGTGTGTCGTCGCTGATAATTACCTCACATTCAACTTAGCCGCATATTTTTCATTATTGATTTTTACTGCTGAAAAACGTTCTTGTTCAAACATCTTTAATTAACTCTCAATAATAATAATAATACCGAAGAAAGTGTGCTATGAGGATGTTCTTTACACTCACTAGCTCATGTCTAATCGCCGCTTCAATGATGATCTGTCTCGTAGACTTAACGCATAGTCGTGCTATTGACTTTCGATTGCCTGATGCAGTATTATCCGAAGAAACACCTGGTTCGTTGCTTTATTCTTTTTGGCGATTTGATTTTAATCGGTACACAATGCTTGAATTGTTATATTTCATCAGTCACTTGCAGCATTTTTCGAGTCATCTGAAAAACATGCAATAACGAATTGAGCGAGCATTTTTAAAAAGATTACTTAACATTGCAAATAAAGCTTTTGTACATGCAGCTGTGAACTGAGCTGCTTCTTTCAAATTGTTTTCATTTGCACTTTCTAAAAGTGCACGAATTTTCGGCAACATGCGCAGTTTTGCTGTTAGCATTGTTTCATCTCCTTAGCCTATTCAAATAAAAAATGCTTTTGAAGCATGAAAATGTTGAGATGTTTGTTTAGCCTTGTCATTCATCATCGAAAGCGAATGAATTGCTTAATTTTGCCTATTTAAGGTGAAAAATTCTCGAGATCCGATGCTAATAACGATGAGAAGCTGTCATTTGACGAATTTTTGCATATGGAACTTCCATACGTATTGATGAAGAGAACCGAATTCGGTGGTTATGATGCAAATGGTCAGAATTTAAATCCAATTACATCTGTCTTTATATAATGATCAATCTATATCAGTCGAGCACGAATACTTAAATCATTGGATTACTGAGTGGAATCCATTTTTTTTTTGTAGTACAAAGATTTCTCGTTTTTACTTCTTTACGATTTACCCAACTCATGAAGTATGGATTACCATCATCAATTCATTCTCATATAATTCTCTCCTCGTCACAGCTTTTTGTATAATCTTTGAGCGTTCGGAAAACAACAGTACTTTTCAATTTAATCATTGCAGAGGATGGCTTCATTTCCAAAGCCGAATATGATTCTAAGTTGCATAGGTATATAGATAAATACGATGGTCGTCGTGCGCATTACTTCGGAAAAATTTATGCAGTAAGTGTTGAATCATTGTTTTTTTTGAGTTGAACATTATTGATAAAAATTGTAATCGGTGTACTCAAGATGTTTATGCTAAACTGTGCAGAGTAGGTTAATAATGATAGAGACCATTTCACTCTAGTTTTAAAACTGATATCTTCTGTTGGAATTCATCGGAAGTTCAGTGCAGATTCACACACAACTGGAAATCTGATGAAGTGAAAGTTGCTTTCGACAAATTTCTTTTGAGTGAATGTGATGATTTTCGCCAAAAAATTGCTCAATGTAATTTGAGGATTATGATGAGAACTTCGATATGAAGTTAAGTAAGGATGAAGTGACTAAAATGATCAGCAATCGTTTCCAATTGAAACCGGGATCGAACTTCAATGAAATTTACCGTTCGTTTGACGCAGATAAGGACGGTGGATTGGATATTGACGGTAAGACAAAGTTGATTGAATTTCGTCCATAAAATTTTTTCAACCTATCACCCTCCTCTTCGATCATATAATTGATGAGAATTCTCCACAATTTGAATTCGGTGGAACATTGTTAGAATAGCAACTGAATCTGAACTGAATAAAACCGATCAGAATTGTTACTCTGAATTTGAGAACGTTTTTCTAGAGTACATGAAATTCGATGACGATATGCCATTGGATGAATTTGTGCCCGATGAGTCAAGATCGCCTGGTCCACCAAGGCCAAGTGTGCATTGCGATGATGAAGAAGATTCGAATGAAGTTAGTACGGTAACAGAGGAAACTGTTAACTCGATGCATAGAACCACTAAAGCTTCTTCTTCACACGGAAACAAGAAATCAACGGCGCATCATCACTGAAAACCTAATGCGCTAGTTCGTCTAATTGGTTTGTGCAAAGTGCGCTGAATCATTCGAGAATGTTAATTCTAATCACCAAAAGCAGTCAAATCACTTGTGTTGTTCAACGATCATTTGAATTCATTCATTCATTCTGCTATTCGAAATGCTACGTTCAGAGTTTAATCGAGTGCCATCAGATGTGTTTCATTCAAATGCGCAACGCACCGATCGCATTCGATATTATCGTAACTTTGTGATGTGCCAACTTTATGATTAACTGGTGTTGTTTTGTATGAGTGTGATTACTTATCAATGAGGATAAAAGCACACATCCGAAATCACGACAAGCATTTCGGCACGAATGATGTGTGCTTTCTTGTATTACAGCTAACTACCGGTAAGAAGCTACTATTACCTGATGATCATGCTGTCAATACTTGATTAGTATTCCATTCAAATTAATCGTTAGTTGCAGTCGCAGTGTTTTGAAATGATTCTCACACATGAAGCTATGTTGTTTCAAACTAGAATAATTATTGCAAAATAGGTCGCAGCTATGGTGTAGCATACTATGCCTTTATTAATGAGGAGAAATTGAAAATATGAACCAGTAAATTGTTAACTAGAACATGGGATAAACAAGCTAGCGACAACGACTTTAATAAGGATTTGAATTTGCTCTGTTGAATTGCTGCAAAAATAAGTAATCCTTAATTGATAAGTAATCACGACCGTGTGGTATTCTGTCTGTATATATAAGTCGGTGTTTACCAATCCTAATTCTTGAAACTGATTATAACGATGTGCTTGTTAAATTAGATTTAAACAAAATAAAAAGAATGTGCTCTCACTTAATCTTCATTTCTACTATTTGTATGTAATCTTCCTTGCTTTTCTACAATGAATCTCCAATTTTCTTTTCATTAATTCGCTCATTAATGCTGGATGTTTTGATGAGATTGATCCGTTCAACAACTCATCGAGCGAAAAAGTTCTGCTTCTCGCAGACGAAGGTGTATTTCTGGCATGCTGGTGATAGCATAATAATTGATAAGATATATGAAATGTTTAATGAATTCGAAACAGCTACTCATTTAATTTCTATGTGCCTCTAGAATGTCAACAATGAATTCGAAATCCACCTCATATACATTGGATATGGCTTTTTATTGTTCCTACTGCCCTATCTCGAGAGCATATTTAATGGTCTACGGTCGGAATTGTTCATTAAATGTGTTATGCAATATTACAATTTTTCATTGGTTTATTCGTTTGTAATTCTTCGCTTTTTCATCTTAACGATGAATGATTCGTGTTGTATATATATATTTATTATTCGAACGAAATGAAACACTTCTGAAGGAAGTTTGATGGAATGTTTTCTTCGCAATTGAATTTATTGGCGAGACAGTTGACACCATGAAAACAAGAGCATTGCAGCATTCAATATTTCTTCAAAGCACACAGCTCAACTTGGATAACTAACTCTCACTAGCACAGATTGATAACCCTTCCATGTAATGAAAGTGAACCACTAAAACAATACGCATGATATTAGGTAGAAATTCCTCATTCAGTGAAAATTATTGATAAATTGACATCTTCTATCTTAAATACCGGTCGTGACCAAGATTATTACATTTTATGACTGGCCAGTAGATATTCTAATCTTCCATTAGAACGCCTTCATTTGTGAGCAGGGCTTTCTCATTCAAGCTCATTGATATTCTCCCAAGTGCCGCTGAATATTGCATATGATCAATGTGCCATGAATGCGAATTTTGAGTCATAAAAAGAGCTTCGTTTTATAGACTTCCAACTTGCCGAGAATAACTTATTCAAGCCATCGATAGTGTCAGAAATCATCAAAAAAGTCGACATATTCACGAACTTCACGGTAGAATGCGAAGTCGAGAAATATGAAGGCTTGTTTTCGAGTGAAAATGAGTCATTAAAGAAACCGTTCATTGCCATGTATACAGATAATCCGTTCTCGTAATTCTTTAACCACAGCAAAGCATCAAGGTGAGGTAAGTTATCAATTCGTGACAGCACACAGTCCTCCCAATGAACATTCGGTCAGCGTCTGCATAAAATCGCCACTACTCCGTCCCGAAACCTTACTCAATCAAAGCCTCAGCTGACACCTGCACAAATTTCAATCATCCTCGGCACAGAAACAATCATGTGTTAAGTAAAGGCCTTATGGAGACTCACCATTTGAAAACGATGCTCTTGGTAAGAGTGGACTTAACCGAACACGATTCAGATAACAAATATTCGTCTTTGCATTCACTGATTCAACCAATTCTACAATGACTTTCCATCCAGTCAATCACTCCATTCAACTCATTATATCAAATTCGAATAATTTATATTTTTGCGATACAATTTAAGACAACTGTTCCTGAGTGATTGCAACCGAAAAAGTGTATCTCGGACAATTACCACCCGGGAAAATTGCATCCCAGATGATGCGTTCAGCTGAGGTTGTGAAAATTGCAATGCCCATCACTAAATGCTGCCTGGTTGAATTTTTTCTTCTGTTTTTGCGTAAGAAAGTGAATGAAAATGAAATATTTTTACGTCGCATCAACGAACTTTTTTACATCATTTGAACACATTATTGAGTATGTACAACCGAAGTACTGACAAACACATTGAACAAAAAAAAAAAAAAAAACATTCAATAAAATAATGCAAAGTTTTGATACAAATGTACATATGTAGTTATTCGAAAGCATTCTCATCATAGAAAATGCGATAGCAATTCGGTCGTTGTACCAAAAAGAAATCTTCCGCAGACTTCAAAGTGATTCTGAAGAACAAGAATCGTTCTCCAATTCAATCACCCTTCAACAAATGAGAATACCCCCAAGTTAGGCAACGAACAAATAGCGTCATCGCATGTTTTCATTATCTTCACCTTGTTATTTTTTTTTCTTGTTTTTGTTTATGATTTTGCATCATAAAGCTGGTAGAGATCAAAGAAGAAGTTTCTCATTTACGGTTTTTTGTTATCTTTTTGCCTCTTAACCAACGGTAATTTTTCCTTTTCCCTTTTGAGCGCAACAGTTGATTCGTTTTTCATTTCCTCATCAATTGGATCCATTTCTTCGAATGGTAACTGTTCGTCGAATTTCAGATATTCTGCAAATACAATCAGTAAATTTCAGTTTTGAAGCCATGACTTATTCCTTCAACCAATATCGTCATCTTAGCATGCCCCGAAGAAGTGCATTATCGAATACTATTTTTCTTTATGAAATGAAGAAAAAAATCCAGTTGATCGCTACCACGATCACAGTTCGATTGCACCAGTTGAAATTTACGTTAGCTCTATTCGATTTTTTGCCAGCAACCTGTAAGTTCTCATCTAGAAAAAAGCGATAATCTCACCTTCAATTTCGAGGCCACCATTTTTGTTTGCATCGAATGAGTTGAAAATTCTTGCGAAGTTATTTCGAGGCTTCAAGAGGAAACGCTGGGCGAGCATTCGCCTCACTTCTTGTTCACTCATCTTCATATCAAAATCCTCGTCGAAGTCCTACGAAAACAATCGATCAATAACTCTCAATTCAAAAATTTCGTGAATCAGTCATGATATATTTGAACTGTTAAACAGTGACAATCAAATAGTATTGACATTAATAAGCGAAGCATCAATCACCTCATAAATTTTTCCAAAGTATTGTGCCCGACGTTCGATCGACCTCTCTTTTTCATCGTCTAGATTTTGTTGATATTCCCCAATTGAAATAAAACCGTCGTCTGAAATATATCAATTTATGTGTTTTGACCGAAGAAGAGTAATGTTCTTCGCTCGAAAAATATCCATTGCATGTGTAAAGTGGTCGAGAATTTCTGAATGCTGAGTTCTTTCAAATAGCAAACATTCTCAAGATTTCATGATAATGTGAAGCGAATTTTCAAGAATACTGCAGTAGAAATATGACTGAAGAGTATCATTAGAACGTTGAGAAAACAATACAATAGGTTGGTTGAATAGGGTAATTATCATTTCCCATTATGTTATTAAACTGAACTTACTATTTAAATCAAGCATTTTGAATTCATCTCTTTTGACGTGTTCATAGGCAAGTTCAGTATGAAGGAACTCATTGAACGTCAATTTATCATCGTGATTTGCATCCGATCGAGCAAATTTCTCATCTGGAAACTCAGTATTGTTTAGAGAATGAAAAATATATTCTGAGATAATAGTTCTATCCATTACCATGAACAACGATAAAGAGGATGGTGAAATGATGTTTTCGGATTGAACTGATATAATAAGTTCCTAATATTTGTGAAAAATATACCAACGAACACTTCCATGCGATAGTTTTGATTCTTCTAAGCGTTAATACAACTTGAATGTTACGTAAAATTTTTCAAAAAAAAAGCCTGCAATGTATCCCACGCATAAAATTTTCGTACATTTTGCTATTGCTAACCAGTTGTGATCACTTCTAATTGTAATACATTCTTGTCAGACATTGCACTACATTCTTCTTCACTATATTTCCCTTGTGAGACATTGTGTTTTAGTACTATGTGCTTGTTGAAATACAACTTTCAGAGTCTTAAAAGTGCCTACAAACTTGCGTTAAAATGATATTAAGACTACTCATCAAAGAAACAGGAAATTTTTAAAGCTCCTAGATGAACCCTTTTACCACAGGCAAACTGTTACGCTAGCAGCGTGCAACAAAATTTTGTGAGATTTATTTTCGTTAATAAAATACAATCGTTTTGAATTCTGTGATTTCATAGTGTCTATAAACTATATTGACGTTGTTCTTAATGAACGAAGTTGTTTTACAAGATTTGAAAAAATAACAAATTTGAATCGTTCATCAGCATCTTTAACGTCATTCTAAATGATTAATTCGTATTGATAAAGTATCCTCTTCTGTATATTTATCGAAATGAACATTGATGCGGAAAGAACGAAGTCAATCGTATGGTGTCATGAAAGTAACAGAGTTATAAGATCTCAATTAACAGTGAAACAAAGAGCAGTTACGGAATGGATAAATAATTAGCTGAAGAACGCAACGAATTTGTGGATACGACAATGATTACCTGGTGTCTCAGATGGTACTTCAAAACCGGGCAAGGCGATTTCAATACTTCGGCATTGTGCTGATGTAATGAAAGCGAGCAATGAAACACCAAGAATAGCTATGGGAGCAGAATTTGTCGAGCTTTGAAGACGAATAATTGAGGCTGACGAAGCGAACATTTCAAAACGAGTGACGAGCGCAAGTAGCGAACAACAGAAACGAGTAATGTATTTGGTTGGATGATTGCTACGAAGTGATAACTTCAGATGAATGGCAGTAGTCGATTGCTTTACAAGAAGGAATGGATAGATTCTGTAAAGACGAACGAATGCTCGTTTGAGTTGAATCACTTTTCGAGTGCCTTTTATGGAGCAATTCCGAGTGATTCGTCCAATAACAAATCATCGTCATCATCAAATCAAAATTCTTTCATTTTTTTCAGTTTTGTTTCTATTTTTGGGGCGTGGTATGAACACCATTAATGTATTCGATTATGCACATACATTCATTCTTCAATTATTTTAATTCAACCCAATCTCTTTCAATCATTATATCGTTATCTACCTGTCTTTTTTCAGATTCACCGATCTCTATTTTACCTTATAATTATCATCACACCGCCCATCACAAATGAACCATTCACCTACAATTACAAACAATTTTTCATTGAAAATTCTTCTCATTCCAAACAAAGTTAAAATTGTAGAATTAAAGTAGAAAGATCAGCAAAACGTTAAAGTTACATCGAGCAGGTCAAGACCTAATTTTAGACATGAGCCGGCTCTATGCTGTCTGAGAGTGTAATTTGAAATTGAACCCAAAACAATAGTGATTCTGCACAAATATGAATAGATGGGTAAATCAGAAACGATCATCTGTTTCAGGTGTGGAATATATGAGCTTTCATCCGAAGATATTCTATGGCGAGCATTTTGGGCTTGTGCCCTTCAAGCTCACAGCCTGTTTACATATCTACTCTGTTTAGGCGTGTTCAGACGTTCATCAACCTAAGATGTCTTTGATTTTCAATTTTGTGATTTTTGTGGTATTGCTAGATGATTCATTGCTGGCCAAAATCTATTGGAAACATGTACACTTCATACATCCATGCTTGTTTTGGCATCTTACTCAACTTCTCGTATTCGATTTCCATCAAAAACTAGTACATTCATCATTTTAAGTGATGAAATTCATGTTTCTAACAAACTTATCAATCTTCATTCAATAATGGTTGCTTTATGTGATTCATTTTGCCGAAAATATGCATGTGAGCTTAAAGGAACCCTGTACGAACAACGATGATTGAAAACTGGGTTATTCGAGGTAGGTTCAGAATTAATTCAGTCATTCACTGACTCGTCACATTTCGTTTCCCACTTATCCGGAGAATAATCGTCTTGCTTCGTTCGCTGGTTCCCGTTAACTCCTCTTACAATCTTAACAAACTTTACAGCGAAAAGAAAAACATTCAGTAATCCTTTAGAGATACACTGGATTAGCATTTTCGGATAACAAAATAGTCACTATGTTTGCAAGTAGAGTTAGATTAATTGATATTCAAGTTTGTGATGTTGTCACTTGAAATTTTGATTGATTGATGTACTCAGTGATCCTTTCAGAAACAATCGTAATCAGATATATTCACGAAACGTTCAAACTGAACCGATCAAAATTCAGTCATTTAAGAAAAACACATTTATCAATATTTCATCTTAAATTCAGTCATTGACGTTGACTGTTGAACACTCAAAAGACAGAAATTATTCTAAAAATAGCACTTCATTTGATTCGACTTCATTTAATGACGTTATTGATGCGATTCTTTCACGAAACGTCGAACAATCGATCATCTTTTCGAAATTAAAAACATATTTATCTCTGTCCCTTTCATGATGTTTTAGAGCCACTTGTTCGAATATAATTCGAGTATTGTTTGTTCGTTTTTGTCGTGCTCAAACTTCATATTAACCACTTCAGTATGCATACACCGAAAACTAAATAATTTGCGTACATGTGTAATATTTTGTTTTCGTTTGTTAACGCTTTCTAACAGCAAATCTACTCTGAAATCCCTTGGTGACAATTATGATTCTGCGTTCTGAAACTACGTCACTAACAAACAGTTCGACTATTCTTCAAGTGAATTCAAACAGATGACGATCATGCAATCAGCGGGAAAAACACTCACTGAGCAGTTTAAGGAGAAGTTCACTTGAAGGGCATTGAAACAGCGAACATGTTCTACTTTTTTGCGATTGACCTATCGCTGACACGGGAAAACTTGAACGTTTTTTTGTAAGTTGCAGACATCAAATGTATGGAACCTAATAATTTCAAAAAATTTTTTAAAGCAGTTCATTTGGTTTATATTCATTACTAATATAATGTTTCCACTATTTCACTGCATCATTCTAGCAACATATGAAAAATAAGAAGTTAAATGTTTATTGCTATTGTCATATGATTGGTGCTTAGAATTAAATGTGTTAAGAAGAAAGATTACAATAAAAAGTGGTAATGAACTGATAATATTGGTGATAATTGATGACTGTTTATTAAAGAACGGTCTGTTTAAAAATATATCTGGTTGATCTATTTGCAGTGAACTGATGGGTTCATGTGTTGATATGGTTGTTTCTTGAACCTTTGTCCACATGATTTTTTGATGCATGTATGATACTCAATTGATTGCATTGACGTTGCACAATAAATTTGAATAATATCAAATTAAGCAACAACCGTTACTGACAATCAGTCGTGAGTGTTTTTTATTCGTTTATGTCTAGTTGTACTCACTAACTCTTTGCTATGCGCTCGTTTTTATGCAACTTTCACTTTATTTTGCTCATACTACATAACAGAAAATGGTATGTATATCTGAATATACTCCTTCAACCCAAAAATCTATCCACGAACTGAATCAAACTGAGGAACATGCTTGTAGTTTCAACTGACATTCAAACTATCAGCGTTGAATAAAACGATCAACTTAAACCAAATGAATGCTCATTATTTTGTCATGTAAAATCGGTACAGGAATGCAATCACCGACTGCAGAACTGAGGAATCAGCCATAATTGCTTTCCGTGATCAGTTACACATTTAATGCATTTTACTCGGAACCACTTTGTTTTATCTTCATCGTTTCTTCGCAATTTGCAGCATTTCTTTTAAATCAGAGAATAAAGGATGTATGAATAAATGATATTGAAATAATACCTAATTAGAAGTGATTAACAGAGTCGTACATGAGAGTGGTTTGTATTTGGCTGCTTATATCATTGCTTCTCTTTTTATAATTGCAACTGCACACATTTATTCTATTCATCACACCGAAAACAATCAAAATAATGCCATTATAGCACTAATAGTGTACGTAGAGAATGTTTACAGCAGAAGCATTTTGAAATGCGATGTTTTTGAACGTGCATTTCATCAATCAATTCACCAGTCAGCCGAAAGTAATTTTTGTTTATAAGAACGTTTTCTTTTCAGATCGACAAATCAATCAACAACCTGACTCATATAAAATTACTACGATTAATAAGTACATATAGATTTCATTTTGGTGATACACATACTTTTGTGATCAAATATTTTCGTTTGCATAATTATAAATGTTTGTTCAACGAAAATATTAAATTTAAGTAACGAAATTTTAAATTGAGGATAAAACTGGAGATTATGGATAAAAAAGGTTGTTTTTGAAGAGTAGTTGAAGTAAAACATTTATTCTTTTCAAGAATTTCGGAAGCTTTCAGTTCAAATCTTAGAACTGAAAACGAATAATGATATCATATGAAATTGCCTTGAAGAATAAACAACCGAAGCAGCTTATTGGTGACTGGAAAGCAATCATATGAATTTGGAAGATAGGAAGTTGATTGATAGGGTGGTCACGTTAGTTGCAGCAAAAACTTTAACTGTAACTTCATCTCATCTACCTAATAATACAGATCGCATCTAAAAATTGAAAGCTTGAAATATGGAAGGTGAAGAACGGCGATCAAATTCATAAATTTAGTTGAACATCGTGAACGTTCAGCTGAAAATTTAGCTGATATTTTTATCACATAGTGACGAAAATAGTTTAGTTTTTTTCGTTTGATTTTGTGACATCATAGATGAAACTATTTTAATTGTAAGCAACATTTTTGGCCCTCAATAACAATATAACACCATATTACATCGATAGATGACAATAATAACAGTGATGATATTGGTAAATAAAATTTGTTTATAAAATTAAAAATTTTCCATCTAATTTGCTGATTATCGTTTTGATGAGAACAAGTATTTATTTAAAATGTAAATAATAGTTTTCATCATTATGTCGTTATTAATCGTGATCAGAAAGATGATGTGACGAATAGAAAGAGACTGAATCTATAAATACATAAGATGACATTGAATATATACACGTATCTATCTATATGTTGTAGTTGAACAGTAAATATCCTTATGACTGAATAATGCATAAAGAGAGAACATCGTCAATTCAGGAATCACTTTCGTCTTCAACAACAACTACTTAAATCATTATCGAAAAATTACTTGCATTCTTTTGAGTTCAACTCTGTTGTTCACATAATTGCCACCATACAAATACAATTCAAATTACATTTTCATACGAACGTTCACATTCCATTCATTGCAATTTCATTAAAATTTCTTCGATGGCAACGTTAGAGCAATAATTAAATTCTTCACATTTTCGTTGTTCTCACTGAACAAAGAAGAGAACACTTACTCAAGTACTCATTGGATTGTGCATTCTCAAAATGAACGATTATGTCAGAGATAATAATAATGGTACAAACAACACTATTATAATATTCATATTAAGGAACCAACAATGCGCACACAGTCGAAAGTCCTCAACGCGGAATTCTATTAGGATCTATCTGTTAATTACGTATTATCGTTGCAAGTTATTATTGATCAAGTTTCTAGATATTTCGATCAAGTTCACGTTCGGTCTTAGGAGTGGTTCACTAACGCGAAAATCAAGACATAGGTTCCCTATGGGACTACGAAGAACCTGTGCTTGAAACTTGGACCGTCACTTCAATAGCGGCGTTACTATAGTGCTGCATGATGTATATAAATAAATGTGGACAATTACGTATGAAAATCCGCTAAATTACTACCCAAAGATATTTATTCACCTTAGTTTACTTACTTGAATAGTTGACAAACATTTCGCTCTAGACTGATCGTTGTTGTTAAAGGTATTTTCAAACGATTTACCGATTCCAGTGAAAAAAAAAATTCTTCGAATGCCACAATCACTAATCAAATTCAATCAAATCAACCAATCATCATTAATTCTCATATAAATAATTTTTTATTCTTCTCTTTAAATTCATTCATTTCATAAATTTCATCACACAACCACTCACAACTATCGATCATCATCATCAAGAGTTAACTAACTGATTGCTCATCAAAACAACCCAAATTAACATCCTCATTCCATCACTTCTATTCAATTGTTGTTCGTCAAATTGTTGTTGCTAGCATTATTAACAATCATTTTATATAATTGTAAGTATTATAACCAAATCGAAATTCCAGAAAAACAGAGCGAAACAATTGTTAAAATTGAGCGAACACCACGATGATTCATTGATCGAAGTTCATAAAAGAGATGAATATGTAAGGGTATCACAAACAAACGCAACAATGCATTTCGAGAAAGGACGAAATTCGGGACAATAAAAATGATTAATTGTTCCAACAATCGCTTCGCACTGATCGTCGAACGAACAGTGAAATCATGATGATAATGAATCACTGTATAGGGCATAAATAACTACCTTTAGTATCTTTACAGTGCTCCATTATATCCCTATATAAACACAAATTATTATTACTAATGCTATTGAATTAATCAACCGAAGTAACACATGTACACATGAGTGCATTCTCATTCATAACACACGTTCAAGCATAACTATCAGTAAAAGCTTGCGCGTTAGCTGACCGAACATATGCTTCACGACTTCTTCTCATCGAAAGTTTAGCCAGTTGTTCGACAACGATAGATTCCGACAGCGTTCCAGTATGCTAAATCGATTTTTTACTCATATAAATGTCTTAAAATTCAGAATTTACTCCAAGAACGTTCGAAAGAATCAACATCAACAGAACGTCTCATACAGAACGCGAAGGGCACTGAACGAGTAGAACTGTGACTGAATAAACCTTTACATCTATAAACATCAAGTTTTGTAAGTTTGCTTTGGTAACGGTTCCTTCTTAATGATTCTATTGAGCTTTTGGAAATGAACGGTTCAGAATCCTGAATATTTCGAAAAAAGAATCTGTGCTGATTTTTGAGGTAGTATTCATCGATATATGATCATTCCCTTCCAATCAATCATCTTCGGAGAAAACGGTTGGCGTTTTACGTCGGTCGCCTGCATAAGGTATGAACACAGCGATATATCCGGTGTTTTCAGGATGCTCACGGATCAACTCAGGATCAGCAGCTAGACGATCATTTACTTCAACTAAATTCGCTTTAATACCCGCTCGTAATACGTATCGAGTTCCGTCGTTGCACTCCAATTCACAAAGTTTTGTGTCAGCCATCAAAGCCAATCCACCCTGAAAAAGTTCGCCAAGTATATTGAAGATCTTGCTAAAATTTTTTACGAGTCACCTTCCCGCTCAATTTCTCTCAGTCAATTAATCAGAAAAGCCTCACATTACAAGAGGCAAACAATAATTACATACCTTTTTAGCTTTACCGACCACTTTCTGCCGACTGCGATCAAGTTGCTTATGTTTACCCATTTGCCAGTCAACCTTAGTGATTCGTTTTCGCATCGCTGGATGTTTCTTATTAAGCGTCACAACAATAACACCACTTGGATGCCTCAGATAGCACAAATCGCTATTATCTTGCAACATATACCGCTTATATTCACGATCAATCAATGACGGATAGTTCATTTCATGATTCATCGAAGGGGAACTACAAAGCAACGATCTGTCTTCGTACTGCGACATCTGTTCCGTTTTCTACAACATACGACTGGTATAATTTGATAGCGGTTCGTCAGTATACAGGATATACGTAGATGAATGATGACGACACTGAATAGCTGCTGTGTTCAATATGCAGAAACAACTGATATGTTAGAAATGGTCTATTGAAGACCACTCGACTGTAGCGTTCAGGGTAATGTTTCTTGACAGATATCACGACCATTATATGAAAAGCATGATTTTTAACGACTGAATACCGCCATAGAGTATATCTGGTTTAAAGTAAATCACCATACATCGCTCAACAATGAAATGAAACGAAAAAAGATTTCACAATATAACGCAGAATAGAACATGAAAATGAATAATCTTGCAGTCAAATGACAACACAAAACTAAACACACAGAAATCAAAACAAACTGATTGAGCGGACTAAGGATTAAAGACTCGAAGTACGATCTGAATTATTCCTCTTCGAATATTCTCTTTATAGGCTAACTTTCACACTCATCTCAACTCAGAACAGATACGTGAGAGAGGATCAAAATCCTCCGAAGTATGTATTACATTTCCCGTTCACGAGATCAACCTGGAACTGTTCAGCCATAATTCGAAGAGCCGCATCAAAAAGATTGTTAAACTAGATAAATGTGCACATAAAACTGTCACCGGCAAACATTTCATGAAAATGTATGAAAAACAATTACGTTCGAATGATACCAATAAATTTGTAGAGAAAGAAGATGGGTTGGAAGAAAACGAAATGCGTTGATGAATGAATGCATGATTGCGTTCCAGGAAATAAAAAAATATAATTTAAGAATTAAACATCAGTTAATTATAAGCACATAAACATACAAAATCAATTCTAGATTAGTTATGAGCGAGAATATTCATTTTTTTTTGTGATATATCAAGTAGAAATTGTATGCGAGATGCTTCGATTCAACGACACAAAAAAAAGATAAGCAGACATTGCTAGTCACTGACAACAAATGAATCATGGGGTATCCGTATAAGTTAATGGGTTAAAAGCTCTGATGAAACGAAGCAAATATACATGTGAAGAGAAAAATAATAACAAATTTCATCAATGAGTAAATAAATAAATCATTATTATTTGCCACTCGAGAAACCATTACAACTGATTGCAACAGAGTTAAACAGATTCATCAATCATCGACTCATACGTGGAAATGGCGAATAAGGTTCAATTAGATGTCAGTATTTCAATAAGTAGAAGAGAGAAGGCTTATGCGTGACGAGTAATGATTTGAAAGAATTGACGAACTACTAAAAATATGCACAACGCATTCACATTCACTTGAAACATTTCATATTATAAATCTGGAAATCGATTAGCATCTTCGCGATATGATTTCGGGATTTTGAACATCTTCGTGGTGAGATCGTCACGAAAGACTAACTTCTGGAAAGTTATTTTCGCTGATATTGTCGGTAACAGTGGGATTTCTGAAAATTTAAAAAAATAATAAGATTCTCAAAACTACATTGAAACTCCTAGTGAAACATTGTGGAGACGAGACATGAAAATTTTCGTCCACGATTTTTTGTTTTAGTGATAGATACTCTTTGGCGTAATCATCACAAAAGAACAAACAACTGTGAACACCATCAGATCATATCACCTTTTTTATTATAATAATCGTCAGACAAACCAACAAACCATCACATGCACCTAGACTGAATCAATCCTTCAAAACAACTCGTGACTGGAAATTCGACGAGGAATCAAGTTCAAAAACAAATTGATGATTTTTCTCTCACCTAATCGGACTGGGAATCCCGGTGGTAAGCGAACTTGACAAAATCGTCGCAGTTTATTCAGGTGCTTAAATGGAGCCACAATTTCCAAAATATCGATTAAAACGTCGACGGTCAATGGAAACTCTTCACTCTGAAGTATGAACAATATTTGAATAAATAATAACGCTGATATTTGCGACTTAAGCAATTATTATTAATTGCGTAACAAATTTTGCATATAGTGTCCGAGAAAACTTATTATTAGTAACACTGTAATAACATGATGTGATATAGGCAATTTATCCATTGTCTGATTTTCAAAAAACAAACGATTAACGAAATTATCACCAATTTCAATGAGCTCTTCATCAAACAATTTTGATGAAAAAACGATCATCATAAACTAATCACAATATAATAACAAAAAATATCACTGGAGAAGTTTTAAAAACAGTTTCGAATGAGAACAAGAAAAAGAATGACAGCATAAAAAATTTGGTAAATAAATTCAAACCATTGCGATGAGTGCTTTAAAAGTTTTTGTATTTTGCTTAACCATTTGTGCTCGACCTAGAGGTGGCGCTAAACCAGGCGCTGCACCAATATATTCTTCCCATGTGGTTGGCATACGGCCCGGAGGCGGTAAGCTTTTACGATGTTGTAAACTCTGTAATTATCATCAGATTACAATCATTCGTATTTGAACACATCAAACAGTGAGGCACAAGTATCAATTTATCATTCATGTGTAGTAATACTAAGTGCGAGAAGCACATAACAAATCACGTGAAGTAAAATCAAGTAAAAAATAAAATAATGACAAATTTAAGAATTATTCGTTGAAAATATTGTATATCAATTAAAATGCATTTGAAAAAAATGCATATCTTTAAAAACAGTTCACGCTTCAAATGCAAACTAAATCCAGTCTTTGGGCATGCGGTTTTCTCAACGAAACGATAATGACCAAAAAGAATGATGAATAAACAACGGCCAAAAATACCTTAAATTCATCATCAGCCATTGCAGAACCAACCGCAAGATGCTGCATGAATGCTTTATTCTTTTTGATATCCTCTGCCGTAAGATGCTCACGTCTATTGTAAAAAACAAGAAGTAAATATCCATCAAATGATTAAACAAAATCAGATAGACACACAGAAAATGTTTCGAAAATGAGCAAATAATTGGAACGAAGGAAAATCTAGAATTTGCTCATGGCGAATATACGATGAAGTTTCACTCACACGGATCATTAGTTTCATAAAATGAATTGAATATCAATCAGCGATACGAGAATACCACTACACTCATACCAATATTACATAAGAAAAGTGATGAATAAATGACATCAAACCTTTTACGTGTTATCAGTGACATTCCTTCAACTGTATAATAGCATGCATCATATTCACCAACTTTTTCCTGAAAAAAAAAAGAGAATCATTCTGTTGAATCGATAAAATTAAAAATTTGCAAACGGAATATACCAGAATGAAACTTGACAGAAATATTTAAATGGATATTCAATGAAGACAACAGTGGAAATAAGCATAGTGTTGATAAAAAGAACAAACTAAGTTTGCACCGATTTTTCATGTTTAAATATCCAACCAGACATTGTTCTCTCGAAAGTGATCGGCTTTGTTGACATTTGTGCACTGACAATATCGGATGACATCAGAACATCAACCTCCTCATCCAATTCGGCATCTGATTCCTCATAACGAATCCTTTGAAATACCTTCAAATTTGATATTCTTAGGTTCCTTTCATATACTTTGTAAAGCAGCGATAATTTTTATTTGAATTAAAACTCAAGCAATCACTAATTTTCAAAATTCACTTTCTGCAAATAACGGAAAAATATCATCCAGAAATAGTAATTCGAAAAGATGAGCTGATGAATAATTTAACTGAGAGATGTGAACTCGTCAGATGAAAAAAGAACAGATTCGACTGAACAAACTTTCGCCCTATTATCCAGGATAACCAACTGATCACGAGATTTTTCAGCTGCTGAATTGTAAATCAATGAAATGTCGCCTCGTTCCCAAGCTCGATCGTTGAAATCCACTAGCGTTGTATCCAACCTCAGACATGTGCCTCGCTTATAGATTTTGCACACATCTGATGGTAGCATTCTCGACAACAGAGGAACTGAATGTGAATAATTTTTACAACTGAGAATCCACACATATCAACGGATACGACTGAAAATCAAAACAAGATAAAGAAATTTCAAACGCTGCTTACTCCAGCTATGAAAATCCCATCTGAGTTCCAAATAGAAATCTCCCAATTCGGATAGCATTTTCAATAAATGTGGCTTTCTTGCTGTCATGCTTTCACGTGATTGTGCTTTCAACTTACGCAGCATTGTCGTGACTAAAATAATGATTGAAATTTTGGAAATCAACAATTGAAAAAATCTACGAATAACCAACAATTTTGATGTTTGCCGAATTATTATCGGATCAAAAAGTAAAGAATAAAATTATACATAAAAACTTACTGATTTGACGATCACCATAGCTTACAGCTTCCATCAAACTATTCCACCCTTCCTTATTTTTAACTTTCACCGGAGCATTATGCGCTAACAATAAAGCTGTTGCCTCTGAAACACAATCAATCATCATGCAACAGGGATTGCTTAACGCTCAATCAAATTCCAACAAGACAATTCGTTCCTTACCACGATGTCCTAACATTGTCGAAATATGCAGTGCAGTATTTCCATGCATATCTTGTTCGTACAAATCGACGCCTGAAATTTGACAAAAAATAGAATCGATTGAGCCGGGCATTTCCCATTCAACATGGGTCTCTACCAAAAAGTTTCACGACAAAATCTTGACCGTTGTTCACCATTACCAAAACAAGTCAAGTCACGTGGCAAACAAACTGTTATCTGTTGAAAAAGAGATGACAACTGATTGCTAAAGGAACAAGCCGAGTGAAATGAAGAAAATGAAAAACACTGCCTCAGAATCAGATAGATGCCTTACCATTTCGAATTAATAACATTATCGACTGTGTATCGTTGAAGAAGGCTGCACGATGCAAGGGAAACTGTTCCTGATCAGACATACCAAAGTACATCTCTTTTCTAGACAACTGAACCTAATTTATCGCGAACGGCTTTCCTCGTTTCGCTTCCCAAATTGGGTGGGCGTCGATAGTGATTATGAGACTTAGCTGAATTGAAATAATCATAGCGAGAAGTTAGATTTCAAAAAAAANAAAAAAAACTTGACATGTAAATCGGCAAATTCTGTTGCACACAGGTGATATACATTGAGATCTTTACATAACACACTCCCGTAACACATAACGACCATCCAAAACTCAGCGAATAATTATTTCCTTATCGGATAAACCGCACAATTCAAGAAAAGAAATTGAATAAATGAATGAATTAGTGGGGCAATGCAAATGCTAAGAAACTCGAGTCAACGCAAATGAATCAATTTCGTTGAGTCACACTTGGAACTTGTTTTTTTTTTTAATTCTATTTGTTTACACCATAAAACAAGAAAACCAATCATCATTATAAGTCACCATTCCAATCAATCGAATACACACATTCAATGAGTTCACAACACATAAGCGAATCAAAAAAATTAGTCTGAAAAGGACTGCTACAATCAAACATAACTAATAATGATGAGATGTAAAATGATTACTTCAGAAACAAATTGCAGCTTTTTCTTTGACCAAAATATGTTTATTGATCCGCAATTACACTAGCACGAATGAAATGAAGACCAAAACTGTCGCCACTGAATCAAATTCATAAACAATCCCAAGCGCTTAAACCCATTTTAGAAATGGGCAAGAAAATAAGCAGTGGCACAATTTGTTCATGAATATCGATGGTTAAAAAACGAGGAGCGCTTCAGAAAAACAAACAAAATTCAATTAGGCTTCCCTTTTACGTCTTCTCTTGATTTGTTAAAGTTAATTTAAAATAGTTTGCAAAAAATCGATGTAGCACTATGATAACTACTTACTGAATCAATAAAATTTGGATGGCACTGGAACTGCCCGCCATCATCACATCTACACAAATAAAATCAGTAACGATCGTGCTAAGGATAGTAAACACAAACGGTATTTATATTAGCCACCGAAGCAATACCAACTGATAACTGTGACTAATAATGTCCAAAACGAATTCTAAAAACACTGATAAAAATGATATCATCTACAATTAAAATAGCAATCAGACCATTCAGAAAAGTGTAGGAAATGACAGGCGAACGGTTCTTATTCATTTAGTCAGCCCTCCGCATTATGTAGTTAATTTAAAGTTCATAACAGAGCAACTTCGACGTCAAGAAAATTTTCCCAACAAGATTTGTAGCAAGATTTAAGGCATGTTTTCAAGACGCTAAAATACAGAAACTGCAACAACGAGCGCTCTTATACGACCATCTCGATTATTCCGAAACGTTGTATCAATGAACGTAGTCATGAAATCCCACGCAAAATTCCATCTAGGTCAAACCGCTTAAACGAACAAACGAAAACACAAAAAAAAAATTGCTCGTCCTCGGTCCCAAAGTAAACCTCAATTCAGTGTGAGCCTTGCACTGTCGTCTCTGCCAAACCTTCAATCTTCCCATATCATCACCGGATGAGCACTCACAAACGTTCATGAGTGTTCGGATAATAGTTGAAAAAGGGTTCGCAAACGCACACAACGTTCGACGTAGCGACGTTGTGGCTATTTGCAAGCAATAAATATGATTATCTAACGCAATTAGCTTGTTGCTTTAATAAACATTAAACTAAATCAATCAGACTATGCAAAACTGAACCCACAACAACACACTTGTAAAGGGTGGAAGTGCATAACCAGTGGCGTAAGTAGAACAAATTCTTGGAGAAGGAGGATGTGCAATTTTATTGACATGCATCAAATTTTTCGATTTGCACTACGCGGAACTGGGTGGAAAATTACTGCGCAACAGTTTCATTTATCTGAAGATCCGTCGGTGAAAAGATCGTTTCGTTTTCATTGTAGCAATGAAGCTAATCCATCAGATACTCACTCGGTTAGCAATGTACATGCTGAGAGTCAAAAGAAATGTTAACACAATCGGTGTGAAAGCAAAATCCTGGCTCGATATTTCGCCAGCAGTGAACTGCTGATTTCCATAAGCGGCGAATCTTCAATGATACTATACAATTCAGCAAGACGAAAAAATGCCTCTCACTGTTCGACTTATCTTGTTACGCAAAAATTCATTAATGCGTTCCTTTTTAATTCTGTTTCTATTTTTCGGTGTTAATCCTTAAGAGGGATTCTGGTCTCGATGGGTTTGTGAAGAATGATGATAATGTTCCCAAGCAGTGTTTATCTCTAGCATTCATGATAGAGAGCCAATGTCAACGAATGAATCGTAAAATGCGCATAAACGCGCTCTTTCACTTTTGCTGCATCACTGTTAAACNGGGGGAGGTTCCCTGCGGTTAGAAAACTGGACGGGGAAGTCCCCGCAAAAAAGTCGGGGAGCAAATTGCGCGGGGCAGCGCTTCCCACTTTCCCCGTCAAGAAAGGGGGTCATTGACGAGGAACCCGTTCCCCAACGAACACTACTCCAAACATATTACCAGCTCCGTCGAATACCTTACTCTTTAAATGGCTCATATTAAGGGAACACATAAGTGGGTGTGTGTGCCAAAGTTTTAATCACAAATATGAGGTTCTCACAAGCCATCGACTTGATCTGCATTTATTGCGAACTGCTCACTTCTTACATTAGGATGTCTGCAATTCCATCATGAACACAGAAAGCAACAAAATTTGATCGCACTTCTCGATAAACTCATTCTACATTCGTACACTTACGTCAGATGAATCGCATTTTTATCAGCCGTTTGCAAGTGCTGTTTGATTTTCGACAGAGTTTGATTCTCCAGGAATTTCAATAGAGCTATAAATTTGCCAAGCTTTTTAGATTCACCTTCTTCTTCATCGACTTAAAAAACCCAAAATTCCTATCACTTCATAATTTTCGCCTCTATTTCCCGCTAAGAATGGTAGTCTTGATTATATGACTGAATTTTTTGGCTTGATGTTTTCTGTTTGTATTAATACGTACAGCAGCACTCGCCGCTTTTTTTTGGTGACGTGCTGGAGAATTGGTCACTTTTTGAGCAACTTCTTCGTAATACGTTTCACTTTGATGGCTCCACAATTCTTTTTCAGCCTTCTTTCCTTTTACTCGAATGTGTTTTACCCAGAATATTTAGGGTTATATGCGACCATTTTGTTTAGTTTGGGGCATCCGGAGCATCACAAGAAATAATCCACGAGAATTTACAGTAGTGGAGATGTTCAACTCTACAGCTTGATTTTGCATGCTTTCAACGCAGACTTCCAATTTGTAGATTAACTTTAAGCTCGAATTTATGAACGCAGCAATTGAGCACTGTGCTATCCACATTTAACAACAATTCAAGTCAGGCTTCATGTATGCTCAAAATTGCAAGGTAACTCCATCACTTTCTGGTATCATTAGGAGAAGAATGTTTTCATTTTTAGAAATAGTGTATTAAGCTGCATTTGATGCACAGCTGCATACTTGCAGCTGATATTCTGAAATTGTTACCAAGAACTGGGCAGGTCCATTGTTCCATAGAACAAAAATAATCATTAATTTGTTCTTAAACTAATTTATTACAGTCATATCAAACGTTGGGTACACAACGAATCAATTGAACCGAGAATATCTTTATCTTCACTGCAGATCATGAAGAAGTCTTCTTTTGAAATCCAGCCTTTCTTTGTTGAGTCGAATTTCTGAAAAAAAAAAGCTGTGCCATTGAGAAGATTCCTCGCGATTGCTGGGTGTGCTATAAGAAAAATACGGCAAGATAAAAAGAATATAAATCAGTTGCAATAATCCTTAATTTCATTGTACCATATTTTTTTCAATAATCTTTCTACGCTCAGTGAATCGCGCAAAAGATATTGGGACGTGCTTATTCCCCTCAATGTATCCTTTCCTTTCGAATAGGCCTCTTGCAGAAACAGGATTGCTCTTAAACTCAATCTGTGCAAGAAGCCGTGATTTTTGCCGAAAATACATTGAAACGGTCCTTCATAGTACTTTGAAGGTACTGATCTAGTTAATGAGGAGTCATATCTAAGCGTTGTTTTGCATGTTTGGCAGTCACTTTCAAACAAAAACGGCAAGATATAAATCCGTTCAACAGATCCTCAGCTAAAACAGTGGATAATTTAAACGTCCAGAATAGCTGAATGAGTTGGAAAAGTGCGGTGTATAAATAAACGATCCACAAAAGCTCCAGTTCCAAGTCGAACATATGCTGATTAGTATTTTCATCGCTTCCTTGCTGATTTTCAGAGTTTACTTTCTTCGAAGAACGTAGCAGCATTCGGAACAAAAGTGGAAGATCTTCAGAAATCTTATTTGTTTGAAAGATCTGTGCAATTAGAAGTTTTACTGGGTGGTCACTTAATATTCCTTTCGTTTTAGCTGGAAACGTCATGACAGAAACTGCTCATTGTCAAGTAAAGAAGCGAATGCAAATTCGCTCAGTTTATTGGGAGCTGCAATGCTAATAAGGGAACTGATATGAAGGCGATAAAAGCGCAATGTGATCGTTTTGTTGCACCTGAAAGAATCGATTCACACGCTGAATGCGTTCTTCATCGCTAATTTGTGGTCTTACTTTTGTGCCTGCAAATATTTCTGCTCTTATTGCTTTGAATTCGAAAAATTTAATCAAAACAATATCATTGTTATTGTTTTCATTACCAATGTTGTAACATCGTTTTTTCAGGAAATAATTATCATTAAGAGTGTAATTTTTCAAAACATCTCCAATCAGACAATTATGGTTGCTGCAAGTGCGCCTTTAGAAAGTGAAACAAAAAAGTAACCGATCAAGTCGTCCATAGCGGTAGTAATAAAAAAGACACGATGCCACTCAATCCGCCCTGAATTTAGAGGATCATATAATCTGTAAAGCCAATTCAGTTTCTCTTCAGTAGATCCTCGTGAAAGTGCTGACAGAAATTTGACAAACTTCTGAAATTAATTGTATGAACGAGTGGTTAATACATA